TAAAACGACGATTATCCGGGTCTTAATTTACTATGGTTCGGGTTAACCGTAATCGCGACCGTCTTAGTGTTTAGTAAAAAAATTTACAAGGTAATCAATAAAAAAAATCAGATTACCTTTAAAAATATGTTATTGATGTATTAAGTTCCCGAATTAACACGTATAATCGGCGTTTTACTGTAGTGTCATCAACAAAAACATCGTTCAATTGTTTCATTACAAATAAAACTGTAGAAGAAATATCTTCCTATCCTATTTTGCACTTTAATAGAGTACATTAATTCAGTAACTGTATTGAGTCTCCATTCCTCAATATATTGATAGCAAATTTTATAAAAATGTCTAACATTCTTTAGAAATTTGTCCTTAATCATAAGATTGGATTTCTCCAAAATTGTTAGTTTATTTAAAGCTATAGGTGCAAATCCAACATCAAGTTTATTTTTGTTATAAGGGAGTACTTTTAGAGTAAGATTAATGAAAAAATCAATATAAAACTCCTTAAAGAATAAATCTATTGTACATTAATATAGGTAATTAGGTGAGTATATTACAAACTGGAAGTAATTAAAAACTAAATCTAGTTTTGACTGCAGATACGCTTAAAACATTTAATACTAAAAATCTAATACTTTCCATTGGGCTTATTTTTAAGATTTCATTAACATGTATATTTATTATACGATTATAGTACTAATTGACAATATGCACTTTCTTACAATTGTTGTTCTGATTATGATTGTAAATAATATACAAGAATATCAGTAACTTGTCTTGTTTTTTAATGGAAAAAAAAAGTAATTAGTTAATGAAGAAAATAAAAGTAATTATTATTTTTAAATAATTGTTAGTTACTTTCTACTAGGAAATAATAAAAAAAATTATATATTATTTCCATATTTTGCAAACTATGAAGTTAGAGAAGTATTACGCGTGTTGCTAATTGTTACTTTCTCTGCGACTTTAAGAAAGTGGAAGAATTTAGCGGTCTCCGAACGCACATTTAACTGGAATTTTGAACAGCACAATGCGGAACTGATCGTTATTTTTCCATTAGCCATTACATAATATACAAACGCATATCCGTGCCGTAATTCAAGTTCAATCGTTGAATACCGCAAAGAACTAATTGCTGAAATAGAAGAACATAGAAACGTACAACAATATGGGTAATTAATATGCATTTATCCTAATGACCCATTTAAAACAATTTTACGCTCGTGACTGTACTAATTGACTGAAATATCTTGATAGAAATAATAAACTGGTTTCAAGAGGAATACTTTTAATGATTAAATCACATGCCACGCCACTTTTATTCACAAATATCATATTAATTGTATGTACATTAATTAACTAAGTTTAAAATACTTGATATTTCAAAGTTCACAGATGGTAAGCAATATATTTATATATTTATAACTATTATTAAAAACAAAAATGCATTATATGTAATGCAATTATTAATTTTATATAGTTTATGCATATTACAGAATATTCTTAATTCCACAATGAAAATTTAAGAAGAAAAAAAATCAAATCTTCTGCAATTTATAAATGGCTATTTTCAAATGTATGGACCACACTGATTCTTACGTAATATGCCATTCACTTCTAATTTATATACTGAATTATTTAACGTAATCTTGAATGTTGTAAGTTTTGATCTTGAATGTTGAAAGATTTTTGAAGTAGATTTAAAACCAAACACCCAATTTTCTTTTACGCAAAAAAACATTTTTTTTTAAACACATACACACATTATATAAGTATTATCTGAAACTCGTGTAAATATTGGGAAATTTCTAAACGTCTAATTTCAATTAGCAAATCAATATTTTCATCCGTATTGATGAATTAATTTCAAGCAAAATTGATTCTGACACGCGAAGTCAATGTATTTGTTAATTATTGAACATAATTCTACAATCTACTTAGCTGTTATCATTGACCGATATGAACCGTTATTTGGAAAGTTTAATAGGCAACACGTGAATTATATGCAAAAGAATGCGTTCAAAGTCTACGCTTCCAAAACATCGATTATTAAGAAGTAAAGCGTAATTTCATGTATTATGTCATTATTTTACTTCTTTTTTTCCATGCGCACTAGAAAAGTTACATAAGAAACGAGAGTGTCCTTGTTTACATATAATGCAAATATGTAGATTGTATTGTGCATTTTTATCTTCATATAATAAATTAACAACGTGAGTAATTGTTACTACAGATGGATGCATCCATCAATATTGATTGATCGGATTACATCAATTAACAGTACTCCGATGCTTCAAATTGCGTACATAGGAGTATTATAGCATAACATATGGTAGTAAACATGGATTGGTTAACTACAATTTATTTATTTTGATTATATTTCGGTTATAATCATCTTGTGTTAAAGAGAAAGCGAAATTATAACTCTCGGTTTTCGTTTGTACACAAAAACACGTTTCTTCTTTTATGTCTGACAATTCCAATAAAAAAAAACACGATCAAATAAAAAAATAATTGTTTCTTAACAATAATACATTCATTCAAAAAATTTCCAGGTGAAATAATAACAACGTTAAAAACCAACATTATCCATTGCAATAATTACAGTGTTATTTTCGTGTTTATATGAAATCTTCAAAAACAGACAGTAAAATGGAAATAAACTGGAATAATATTTATTATTATCAATTCTTTTCTCATCAAGTTAATTCGATACGAAAAAGAAATGAAAGTCTGTAGAGTGAAGAGGATGTGGAATTTGGAACAGTGTAATTATGCGTCATTTTAAGATAAATCGAATGAAAAGTTTCCTATCAAAAATCACGTTCATCTGTAAACAATTGAGTAATTTGTATTATACATACGGTTTATTTCGATAATCAACGCAACATATGGACCAACTTTTTTTATTCATGTTTTAGCATAATTTCCATACAAACTCTGATAACGTGTATGTGTTATGCGCTTATAGCTGATATGAAAAGGCGACTAGTGAAGTATTGTTATACATTTTATACGTGCATAACTAATTAACAATATTAGTTTTGTACATAATATCTTAATAATTATATATTTGAAATATAATTCAAATTTGAGGTTTAATAAACATTCCAACATTTTCAATTACTTTACATATTTTTATTTAACATATTTATTGATCAAAATTATGACCAAATGGAATTTAAATTACAAAAATACAAAATAATTATTATGTGTATATATTTTTATTATTGTATATTTATCATACAAATTATAAAATTGATGATATTCTTTAATAAAATAAGATTGTCTTAGAGAAAAACTTTTTTTATTTATATTTACTAATAAAAAATATCCGATCTGACAACTTAAGTACTGTTACGTTGTGATATCCCTACAGACCACTACAAAGAAATGTCTTTGATATTTTAAATCAATAGCTAAATATAATCGGTGGCAATCGCAAGCCCGACAACCGAAATAATTTAAAAATGTTATTGTAAAAATTTTCGATATAGTCGGGATTTTGATATAGTCGGTATTATGTTTGTCAGGATTATGGTTGTCGAGATTTGGATATAGTCGGTATTTCGAACGTTGGGATTTCAATAGACGGTCTTTAGGTTATCGGGCTTGCGATATATAATAGATATTTTTGCATATATAAATGTCAAGGTTTTCAGAAAATTTCAGTAGTTTTGAGACAATTTGAGATTTTTTTTCGTTAAAATACTACTGATTATGTATTCTAAAAAAAACAAGAACAGATAAACGTTTTACGACGAGGTAAAAATGCAATTAATAAGCGTTATTTTCTGTATGTTTTTTTTGACAGATAGAGCAATTTCAATATGCATTTTGGCCGAATGTATTTAATTCATTATATAATTTTTTTTGGTAGGCTTCACAATTAATTTATTTTTGTAGATTTTTTTCAAAAAAATATTATTTTAATTAAAATATATGTCCTTTACTTAAAACTATCACAGTATAATAATTAATAGTACATATCTATATAATCACGTCCTAATTACATAGATATCAAAGTAATCTTTTTGAAGGTTTTTCGTGATTTTATTAAAATTTATAATAAGTATCAATACACAAATTGATATTATTAACAATAACATAATGTAAATATAATTTACCAAATGTTATTTTAACAATTATAGCAGGATAATATAAGTAAACTGCTCGATCGAAATGTAAACAAATAATTATGATCGATACGACGGGGAGTTATTCGCATTACAAATCGCATCTAAATTTAGCCTGCTAGCGAAAGGTATTAGATTCGCCATAATAGTATCATGTTTGCATATAATATGGATATGTATGCAAAGCACTTGGAACACACACAATGCGTAATTAAATTACACACTTCGAACTTCTCATTAGAATAGGGAATAGTAGTCGAGAACCAAAAGTGTTTCAAAACAAAAACCTTGGCAGTCCATCGATCGGTATTTAGAGATAATCATTTTTTTTTATTAAACATTTTCTACAAAAAACAAATATCGCAATAACTTAATTAAAATTATCAATTTGAAAAATACATAATGCAATGAGATGAATCAATTAAACATTCAAACTTTAACGAAATTAATAACTAAGGTCAGCTTGATAAAAAAAATGACAAATCAAATATTGATTCGTTTGCACTCTCTCGGACATTCATTTTAAATTGCCATTGTGTAAACATGTGGTATGTTGACTCAATACACTAGAAGCTAGGAACACATAACACTTTAAAGGAAGAAGAAAGAGCAGATAATAAAAAAGAAAATATGTACTTATGTAAATTGCTAAATCTCGAGGAGCAAAGAGAAAGTAAAATTATTTCCTCGCCGTTAACTCAAAATTGTACAACTTGCGGAATTTGGAAAAAAGGAAGTGGAAATGGAATTTATATTCACGCATTAGTTACGCATCACTTAGATGCAATATTGGTGGTTATATGGTTATAAATAAATACATTTTATAGTAATGAATTAAAATTATAAAGTTTAAAAAAAATAACTTACCTTTGCCGAAGGGCACGTTGAATGATAGATTTTGAAATTCTATATCTAGTTTATCATTTTTGGGTAGATTCAGGTGTATAGCTCTCTGCTGCATTTTGTTTGCCATTGCGAAAGCCGTGGATGGAAGATGGCAAAAATCACTTGCACTTGGAGAACGGATGTGTAGGTATTTTGTGTTATTGTTTATTTGTTGCGTGTTGTGGTGAGTCGAAGTAGAGAGTAGTCCGTGCTCTGGCTTTGAGTTGTTGTAGTAGAAGTAGTAATAAAGGCGGGAGCTTGCACGCTCACTTGCAACCTATCCTCGCACAACCGCGACTGAAAAGGTAAAATAAACGAGATATGTTGGGAGGTCTGCGATTCAACAGCCAGACCACAATAACGAAAACAGTACAGGGAGTACCGGATAGTCTACGTCTACCATAACGAGTGTGCACGAAGCCTTATCAGAAAGTTGCAAGTTCATTAACAAATATATAAGTTCACACTCGTACTCGTGTTACAGGCATAGAGACGCTCCAGATATTTTTTTCAACTAAAGACCATATCTTGTGCGAAATAATAATGATTCAGATTTGATACCAGCCGCTGATAACCAGACACGAGCAATCGTGAAAGATATTTAAAGCAAACGCCTCAAACATGTTGTTGATATCCAATGCGAGCGAAGTCATCGCTTTTAATTGATTCACTATAAGCTAAATGGTGCGATTTCTTTCATTTATCATTTGCGTCACAGCAGATAGCCTACTAGATTTGACAAAGTATTCTTTATTTTTTTTTCAAATAAATTAATTATGTGGCATAATAGACAATATGTCAAATCAATTAATAAATTCTCAATTTATTATTTTTTCATGATATTTTGATTTGTTATCACTACAGTATGTTCGCCTAAAATATTTTAACCTTGATCTAATTATTTCGAAACTAACAAATAATATGAAAAAACGGTCAGAAAGACCTATGGTCAATAGCGCTTTGTATTAGTTGAATCTTTTTTTAAATTACATATATTTATTTGTTTTTTTTTTCTGAATGACTGATGAAATAAATATTATTATTATAAAAAAAAAACCGCGATAAAAAATAACAAACATAATGTATTACAAATAGAGAGCTTTTTTTTTCTGCCCTTCAAAAACAAGAACGAAATAAAGGGAATATATTTTTGAACATTTACAAATATATGAAAAGAGAGGAAAATTTTGAAATAAACTAGAGTATATGTGAATTATATACAAACTATGTTAGTTATATTTTTTATTAATCATTATGATTTTTATATTGTATTCATTAAATTATTGTTGTTATACTATATTTGTTGATGTAAAATGCAAAGTAATTGCTTTCTTGAAAATCATTAAAAATATTCCATGTATGTTTTCAAGTAACGATTTCTTAAATTTGTTCTTAATTCATTTATATCAATTATTTTTTTATATAAAAAATCACAATACTCCTTATAGCATTTATTAAAAATACATACATAAAAAATATGCCACTTGGAAAGCTGTTATAATTTCCAAAATTGAACTAGAAAACAGTGATGGCGAATCTATGATACGGCTGACATGCAAGAAATTTTGGGTGACACCGCCATGTGACACACCGATTTCAAAAGGTTCGCCTTCGCTTGACTAAACTTTTGCATAGCACCAATTTTCGACTTGCCACAATTCTAAAGAAGCTTTAAAATATTCAATACAATATCATTTTAGTTTACTTTCATAACTTCTCAGGTAATTTCAAATAGAGTAACGTGAACATAATAATAATAGCATCTCCATTTTTATGGTTTATTTTTACTGTGGGTGTGTGATAAATTGTCTAAATCGATAGATTTATCACACAATATTAACTTATATAAATAATAGGTACAAAATAGATTCTAATGTATTTATCTGCAATCAAAAACTTCATTTTAATGGAAACAATATTTAAATGATAATGTAATAATTTCTGTCTGCAAAAAACAATTTTAATATCGCATGTATGTTGTATGATAAAAATATTTTTAATTTTAGTTATGTAATTTAATTCAATAATACTTATAAACAAGCATGATACAGCACTATAATACATAAATTACTTTTTGTGCGTAATAAAAATAAATAACCATTAAAATGTCGCTGACAAAAATATTTCAAGCCAAAGTAGCGAAATACTGTTACCAGTTAATATTATAATTACTGTTTAGTGCATAATTGTCAGAAGAACAATACTATATGACGCGGACGCCTTGAACTTTTGCTCTGATTTTTTATTCTGTTGATGATGTACAATTATATGAATTAAAAGTATTTTTGAAAGTCATTATTTGTTTACTTGAAACATAATTATTTACAAAAAAATCACATTTAACATGCAACAAGACTATTTCCATTATGCTATAATACTAACTATAGGGCAGAAAGACTTCGGTCTATAGTCCTTTGGTCATAAGTGTGAGCAATATAGATGTTTAATGACAATAATATTTTTCAGCCTTCAAAATTATAGAATTATGTAATCCTAAATATCTTAATTATTTTACTTTCTTGCTCCTCCAATTTTCTGACAACCCAAGTTACTTAAGTTCCTCATGCTACAGTCAAGTGCAGTTTCCCATAGTAATATTGTTCATATTACGCACGTGTGCAGTACATTCGCTTTTGCCTTGAACAAGGGTCGGAATATTTGATCTCTGAATGTGCACAATGAAATAATTTTAATTGGATTAAATCAACGTAATTCACATTCAATTAATGTACATCTTCCTTTCTCCCATACTAATACAACAATACCTCGTATAGTACGGATAATCAGTTCCGCTAATATCACGGACTAATCGAGGTATTAAATAGATACAAAAATAAACAGTATAAAAAGAAACTTGCATGTTTTTAGGATAATTTATATTTAAAAAAATATTTTTGTTAATAAAAATCTGTTCACAAATTTTTACTCAATTAAATTTTAGTTTGTTTTGAAATTTTCATACCGTACTATAGCAAAACGGACTGATTGAAACCACACTATGCGAGGTATTGCTGTACTCTTTTTATCATTCCAAGCGTCTATCAATATTGGTCAGATTTTTTACTAACTATAATAAATACAAAATAAATACGTAACAGACATAAAACAAGTGACTCTTTTCAATATTTAGAATTGCAACTTAGAGTACGAAATGTTATCATTCTCAGGGCCGGATTTAAGCCGATTTGAGCACCGCGCTAGAAGGGGCAGCGCATCAAAATTTATATATTTTAAAATAGTACATGATACAAACATAAATATCTCCGAAGATTCACAAATAAAAAGTGAGGCAGAATCACTTAGAATTTTTTTTGGTATGATTTACTTTTCCAAGTAAATTTTGTAAGCATTGAAGTTCCTTGTAATTCAGTAAATATATCACTTTCTTCATTTGAAAAACTTTTTAGTTGGTTGATCAAATACAGAAAAACTGGATTTGAACAAATTTTAGTTCAGGCAAAAACACCCGAAGCAGCAGACTTATAAATATTTACGGAATTTCGAAGTAAAAGGCTCTGGAAAAGAAAGAAACATTTCAATTATGAAGGCGATGATGAACCTATTATAGATCCTCTAAACCATTGTTTCTCAAACTTTTTTGTGTCGTAGACTCCTTGCTATGTTTTTCGGTTTTGGGTAGACTACTTACCTGATATTGATTTTTTGTAAATTTATTATTTATATTGGGACATCTTTATAATTATTAAGATCTCTGCTCTGAGACTGCGCGTATGTCAGTGTATGTTGAGATCCACTATCGTGGACCCCCAAATTTTTTTCTCGCTGACGTAGACTCCTTGCAGGTTGTCATAGACCCCTGGGGGTCGATATAGACCACTGCTCTAAACGCATTCAAGATGTCTTTTTTCAATTTAGTTTTAGATAAAGCAAAACAATCATTAGATTGTTTTGAACAATTAAAAAATCATAATGATTTATTTGGGTTTTTGGGAAGATTTATAAATATGGTTCGTTTTCCAAGAACATGCAGCAGATTTAAAAATTGCTCTGACAGATTCTAAGATTAATGAGACATCTTTTGATATTATCTAAAAAGGACAAAGCTACAGAGTTTCGAAACTTATTTATTCGAATATATTTTACGTTGCTTCTGGAGAGAGGTCATTTTCTAGATTAAAACTAATAAAAAACTATCTAACATCGACAATGACTCAGGATAGATTAAACAAATTTGATTTTAGAAGATTTTTCAGAACAAAAACTTCGAAAACATTTCAGTTAAATACATTCTTTTTATATTTGGTTTTTAATGCAGAAATTTGTCTACCTTAGTGGATCCGGCCCTGATCATTCTACTGCTTTCAAGAAAGGGTCAGGCCATTTCAGACCACTGTTATCAAAATAATACGTTATTATCCAATTGACGCCCAATAAAATAGTCTACATTAAAAATAAACTATGAAAATGTTTGTTTTGTAACTGAAATGTACGAGGAAAGACCTCGGTCGTTAGCCCTTTGGCCAGCCTATTATATATTTTTTTTATTTTATGTTAGAATTTATTTATGTATAGAATGTACTTTTTTTTCTAATGTATTGATGTTTGGCCAATAAATTATTATTATTATTTTATGAAATACAATAAATACGAACAAAATGTTTATAAATGTGTAACTTCTTTTTTGTAATTATTACCGCCCTATGTATTACTAGTACTGATTTCTTTTATTATAATAAGATTTGAGTAATACTTAAACTAAAATTCATTTTAAAATTGGCTTTTTCGAAGATAATAAGCGAGATATTTTTGTTGAGAATGGCAATTGAATATTGTAATTCGATAATTGAACATTTAAAAAAAAAACTTCAGTAAATATGAACTATAAAATATTGTATCAAAGAATTAAGTAACTAATAAACCATAAAGTATTGAAAGCTTTACGACTTGTTTGTCGTTCTTATGCTCTTGAAAGTTGCATATACTTTAATAAATATAAAACATATCTTGATAATTAAATCAGTCACATGGTAATTTTAATATAAATTTATTGGTAATATTGAAAATGAATGACTACAATAATTGGAACCAGTTGAGATGTACCAGGCTTCAGGTTTGTGACAAAAAAATCGTAAATAAAAGCGTTCGAGAACAAAATCAGAATAATCAGGACGAGTTTTCTATCCTTGAAACAATTATAATATTGCGTATTGTTTTCATTTTATTTTGCAAATTTTAATGATGTTATTTTTTTTATACTCTACGACATTCCTTCTACTATATTAAACATAACACATAAACGTTTAAAAATCACAAATTATATAAGGTTCGGTAATGTTACTGATATTCACAACGGTATTTAGTTTTTCTATGTACTATTTTTTTGTAATCAAGTAAATGAAAATACCTTTGCATATAATCATTATTCTCTATACGTATTACTGCATCAAAATATTAAATTCTAGATAATTTTGTGAATAACAAATTAAGAATCCCATTAATTTTATACTTGCAAATGGAGTTTTTACTCTATCTAATGTCTACAAACAATATGTACACGTTTATTTCCATTTATACATTAAACATAATTTAATATGCAAAAAAACGATAAAACTTTAATAGATTCTTTAAGATATTGTTGTAAACGACGTAGGGTGTATAATATATAAACACCTACGAATTATATCATAATATAAAATAAATATTTTTTACAAAATTTATACAAAAATATATCATCTTAAAAGTTAAAAGTAAATATAAATGACTTTAAAACTGAAAATTTAGATTTCCATCAGTTATCACTATTCAGACTAATAGTTGACATATCTTGGCACATCTTGCTCTCCGACATATCGTTAGCCAACGCCATAAGAATATCCAATATAAGTTCCTTACTCAATTGCTTCAACCTTGGCAATCTCACTACTTTTGTAAAATAATGAACGATTATATCTAAAGCGTATTTCTTCATGTCAGTAGCTTGCATACGATCCGCAGCCTCTAATATCTGTATAACATTTTGAAAAGAGACGTTCATTTCTAAATTTTGCTTGCAATAGGCCTGCAATCTGTTGTTAGTAAATCCGTAAAAGTAAGGAGCCGAGAACAAATACAACGAATCCTCAGGAGGCATGTTCACATCTCCGTAATAAATGTACCTAAGCAAAGAATCAAACGACTCCATGGATGGCGTCATCTCACCAATTTGAATCTAAAATAATCATTTAAATGCTATGTATATAATAAATGTGTTTGTTAATAGTTACCCTAACCGTTCCATCCACTGGCATGAATGATCGAAACATTGCTTCGAAATAACCGCACCGTGCGGCCAACACAGATTTATGAGCAGGTATAATATTACCATCCAGCACAAGATTTATATCGCAGAACTCTGTACCTGTACTCCTCAAAAACATCGACATATCCTGTTCCAAAGATGAACCGACACCACTGAACGTTTCGATTAGTTCTTTCCTTTGTGGTTTCTGTTTTCGCCTAATAATCTCAATCATCAACTGCCTATCCAGATTCTCGAATTCCGAGGACATTACAATCTGGTTGTAATTCGTTCCTTTCACGATGAATCGCAAACAGAATTCCTTAATGAAATTCAATTTCAGTGAATTGGCGTTATGCAGCGCTACCAGAACATTCTTCAAACAGATAGTTGCATTTAAATACTGAACACATAGGTATTCCAATCTGGCCATATCAAATTTAACTGCCAATCTATACACATCCATCATCAAAAGTACAATTCTGTTGCTGAACGGATCTTCGCCCTCTTTAGCTCGTTTAGTTGGATCGATGCAGTCCATGTAAATATAATTTAAAACCATTTTAAATGCTTCGGGGTTTGCATCCGATAGTTTAACATTTAATATTGAAATGTCGTCAGCTTTAGTGACAGTTAATTCTACTTGTTTTCCGCCGGCTTCTTTTGCTTCTTTAATTTTATTACGCAGATACGTGCTTCGTGCAGCAACTAATGGCAAGTGCGCCAATATCTCTTCTCCATCCTTCCCTACGGAAAACTTGACGTCTGCGAACTGCTTAGATTCTAGTATCTTTCCATAGTCATCGTGTAGAGTGCATTTAGGATAATTCGAGAATTGAAACCTGTACATTTCGCCGCTTCGCACGTTATTGTCCACCGTGCCACCAAAAATAAACATAGCATCTCCAACCACTGCAGCAGCGTGGAAAAGGCGACCAGATGGAACAATTGATTCTGCAGCTGGAAGCACTACAGACCAAGTCTGAGAGTCCAAATCGAAGCAATGCAGGTCGTTAGATAATGTGTTGTCAGCAGCTCCTCCAAAGACATACAAATGACGATCGAAAGCTACCATAGTATGTCCGTATCTGCGAGCTGGCGGAGGCGGCGCCCCACGCAGTATATGCTCAGTAGAGATACGCGTCCAAGTTTTATTTCTAAAATTAAATTGAAATAAAGTATTTGTAATTTTAGCACCACTTTGTCCACTAAAAACAAACATGCATTCCCTAGCCACAGCCACAGGAAAATTGCAACATGTTGGTGGGCATTCTCCACTTTGAGATACCTCTTCCCAACTCTTATTCTCTCTATCCTGTAAAACAGAAATATGACAATATTTCACAAATATAATTTAATTACCATAATTACCAATAAAGATATTGTCCACATATCATTTAATCTTGCATTACCATCATATCCAGCAAAGATCCACAATTTATTATCAAAAACAGCAGCTCCATGTGCTGATCTGGCCACTGGTGTTTTACCAAAGAACTTCCACTCCATCCAATGCCCAGAATTAAAATTGTACTCAAATAGATCATTTTTATTTGCCAAGTTTGAATTAGAGTGAATATCTCCTGTGTATCCACCAAACACATACATTGATGTCTTGTGAACAACAGTCGAGTGATGATATCTTGGTGCTGGTGGACAGCCAGTGGCAAAGGCTCTGCCCCATGACATCTCTTTCACATCAAACCTTAGAAGATCATTTAACATATTCTTTCCATTATCACCACCAAAAACGTAAATAGCTTCTTTGTAAGGTATAACAGTATGCTTACTACGTCTAAAAAATAAATGCATTACATATATAAACAAATAAAATTATTATAATCATACCTTGCTCCAACAAACTCATCACATTCAGGCATTCGTTTCCATCTGTGGACAGTCTCAAATGGTCCTAATTCCAAAGACAATGCATTATCAAAGGATGCAATAGCAGCTTCAGACACTGTGATTGCACTCATTTTGTCAAGTTTATTAGTGGACCATATAAGTTTATGAATTACTGCAACATTGAATGAACGAATGCATGAATTAAACTAGCTGTCATTCTTGAAAAGATAAAGCAAATGCACTAGGACACAACAAAACATTGGTTCTAAAACATTTTGAGAATCACTAGTACCATTCACACAAACTTGCAGAAGCGCATGTGCGAATTCAAACCCAAAATAGTGAAATTTTGTTGATATTATATACTGAATATTTAATAACAAATAGAACATTAATTGTTGATCCACTTTGCATATGAAATATTTATTATTATTAACTCAAAACGTTTTTAGATAAATCTTTGCTTATCATCTAGACTCAATTTGAATACAACTATAAATTATATTATATATAAATTATATAATTTATATTTGTATCTTTAACCAGATTATTTTGGTCAGTTAATTGGTGACAAACACAATTTGACATCCCTACCACGTTGATTTTTTTGTTATTTATATAATTCTATATCCATTTAATTATTTCTTATAGAGTGACATATTATGGTAAATATAAAAATAAAAATAAAGAAACTTCAGAATTACTGTTATAATCGAGATTTTTTTCATATTTTATATATACTCCAGTAGCCGTGATCGTCTAGTGGTTAGGACCCTACGTTGTGGCCGTAGTAACCCAGGTTCGAATCCTGGTCACGGCAATGTGAAAGCATTGTCACGGTGGAGATATCTTTTTACTAAGTAAAAATTTTTACATCGGCATAGATATTAAAATGTTTGTTAAGCAACCAAGGTAATGAGGTACATGTCTAGGGCTCCTAAGTCAAGACATTTTTCAAATACAATTTGCCTAGGAGCCCCAACTATTCTTAATGCGCCACTGTAACCAATATTTATTTATGATATTAAACGAACATAGAATTATATGAATATCATGATCATAAACTAAATAGGAAAATACAGGAAAGAGATGTAAAAATTTCTGGTATATAAATTCATAAATAAATTTTAACGATAATAAAGCATTTGTTAAATGATCTTATAGATTTGAGCATCAAATACATAATGAAATTTTAAATTTAAGTTTAGCATACTCTAATCGTTTGTTAAATTAGTACCATTAGTGCAGATAATTATGTAATATTTTTCTCTAGAAAACAACATTGGTATAAATGGTACAATTCAGCCAACTGTTAATTGTAACATTGGTTGCATATACTTACTGCTTGTAGGTTACATAAACTATATTTTTTTTAATATTTTAAGAAATAGCCGAATCTAAATATGATATTTTATTTTTATTGAAATTATTTTATTATTCTGATATTATTAAATAAATAAAAAAAAGTTATTTTTTTATGTCGTGTAATTTTATTTACTGTTCACTGTAATTTTCATCAATGTGAACATTGAGTAAATTTAAGATCGCGGTTGTCATTAGGTAGGTAATTTTTCCTGTTTGATTAAGATGATTTTTCAAAATATAAAAATAAGGTAAATATTATTTGACATTAACAGCTGATTCAATACAGACAATAACAAAGCTGTCACAAAATCCCCTGTGTTTGTGAGATACCATTTCATAAAATTTGCTAACCAGTTTTTGCAACGTTATATTAAATGTTAGAGAGGGATTCCATTTAAAAAGACCATGGAGAAGGAAAAACCACAAGCTAAGGTAAATTGTCTTATTAGAAATTATATGAAAATTATAAATACTGTTTAAATGCAGCAAAGGAAGAAAAACAAGACAAAAGCAAGAGAAGCCATTGAAGATGTTGTTGCCTCTTGCTCAAAAACAGAAGATATTTTACCCAATGACACCCAAGTGGAGGTTGAAGAGGTTGCTGAAGCAATATTGCACAATGATGTAATTACAACAGATAAACCTATTGTTAAAGAAGATTGCAATGATTTGAAAGATACAATCAGTACAGAGTTGGATGAATCATGTAAAGATAAGATAACATTTTCTGTAGAAGGAAGTGTATCAAATGGTGAATTGCATAATGAGATTACTGTTAATCAAAATGAAATTGAAGAAAAAAGGTAACAATTGCTATATAGTGAAATTAAAAACAAACATTATTTTCTTTGAAATTTTAGTGCCAAAGAAAAGTTATTAATAAGTAAAACTGTTGTCAATCATCCAGTGACAAACTATAAGGATCTTAAGCAGCAACTTAAAGAGCTGCATATAATTGAAACCAATGTTGAATCAAAGATTGCAGTAATAAATAAGATAAAACCATTCACAGAGTCTCAATTGAGTGCATTATATGCAAACAGTGAGCTTGCAGCAGTTAAGCAATTCACAGATGAATTCATTGAGGCTGAATTGAAGGGTTTGGCTGCCAATAAACATACTCTCCATGAATTGCTTAAATCCTATTTGCAAGTTCGCAGTAAAGTTCAAGCAAATTTTTTGGAAATTAAACAGCTCAGACATGATTACCAAGAAGCACAGAATCAGCTGTGGACTTTAAGCAATTCAGTTGCTCATAAGAGAGGTGTTTGCATGGATGGTGTATCTGTAATGGCTACACATACCTTTACAACTGCTAAAATGCATCATAATACTTACCAATCTATAATTAGGATGCAAAATAAATTGAGAGAATTGACAAATGAAACTCACGTTTTGTATAGTTACACTGCTGAAGTGTTAAGGCTGCAGGTGAATACTAATTTGATTTCATTTTTAGTCATTATTCTAAATATATTTATGTTTTTAGATTCATCTGTACATACACAACATAAAAGCTAGTACTATGTCAATGTGTAATTTATCCCAAAATTCTCCTATTTGTTTAAGTATGCAACAACCACCAGAACATATGATGCCCTATTTACAAGATTTGAGATTATGCATATCCATTTTATTTTCATATCTAAGAAAATTGATTAGAGACACAGAGTTTATAAAGCAAATTAGACAGTGGTTAAGTGAATTGGTATGTGTTCTGTTGCGTCTAGCATGCTGGCAAGATCATTTGTTTATTCTAAATCACATTCTAAGGTAAGTTATTAATGTATTTGCTTTATATATATATTGAGAAGAGCGTGGTTTTGTTAATATATGATTATAACTGATAAAATATACTTTTATAACTTTATTGTTATTTGTCTTATAGATGTCAGCCAGGAATTGGAAGTTGGGGTGCCCAATACATACAATTCCCTTTAGTGGATTTTATTGAATCTCCATTTTCTAATTATGAAATTAACCATATTCTTTCAATGTTATCTGTAATTCTGTTACCAGTCAATGAAAGGGAATTATTTCTAAAAGAGGTAATTAATTGAATTAAGTTATAAAAATGATTAAAATATTTTGTTAAGGTCTCTCAACTTAGTGATGAGCCTACAGAAACTTTATGGGTAATAGTGGATTCTGATGGCGAGGAAGACGAAGATTCGACTGGAGTTGCTTTGAGAGAAAACGATTTGGTTGCCTTGTTAAATCAATTACCTCTTGACAATCTCTTTAGGGCTGTACTTCTAATCAATAGAAGAGATAATGAAGATTTCTATGATGTTTCTAATTTAACTGAAAATCACATTTTGAGATTCTTTGCATTTTCGACGACTATCTTAAAACTGTTCCATCAAGGCTTGAAAAGTTATGATCAACTCAGATACATTCAATTTTGTAAACGACTTAGCAGATTAATCAGACATGTAGTACAATACGCTACTGATCAATGGGAAATATATTTGACATATAAGAAATCTGAAGACATGGCAATGATGGATCGACTTCAAGTAGAATACGATGCATTTTTTCTGCGTGCCATCAACTATTTGTATAACGCTGAAAAATTAGGAGCTTGGCAGTTTCTGGCCGTTATACCGTATGGAATTATATCAATATCAACTTTATGGAAAATATTTTATTTTCTGCATAATTCTGATTCATCAGCAGAAGATATATTAAGTGAGAATCATTGCAAATTAAAGTAATATATTTTTTATATTTATTTGCTTTTTAGATCCAACTAATAATATCAATTATATGGATAAATTATGGGATAAATCGTTACGTGAACAATTTGAGGAAAAGATAATTTCCTTGGCAGATGACGAATGTTATTACTTGTTAAACACATTTGCTAATATGGCTTTATCGAGGAATGAAGATGATATGAAGTTTATTAATTTAGCGACGATGGACCTATTACAGGTATATATTTATATATGATGTCATTTTTAATGTCTTAAATATTTTTTGTAGGTCGGTTTTGTAAGTCAAGTCACACAAGAATCTTGTTCAAAAAATGCTAGAATTCTTCTGACTCATATCACATCGAAATATTCAAATCTTCTATCAAACATATTGAAAGCAGTCAAAGATAATATCTCCGCTATCCAGTCTTACAGTTTATATTTATATGAAGAGTTACCAATATCTGCATGGAAGTTAACAGATGCTGATTTGGAGATTATATCAAATTTATTGTTGAATAACAATATAAATTCAGTTGAGAGCAAATTAGCTAGAATGATATTATCAAGATTGAATTGGGAATTGGTAGAAGACGGAAAACTGTTCTTACCTTATAGTTTTCACTGTAAAATAGCTACATTAATTGTGAACGCGGTAGCATTAGATCAAGGATATCTGCATTGGGCTTGGCAAACTGCTTTTCGCTTAAGACTTCACATAAGCGATAAAGGTTTTACAAATTTTCAAAATGTCAAAGACATTGAATACTACGATGCAATTTCAAGAGGTAAATAATGAAATTTGAAATAATGACAATATCATTATAAATATATATTTTAGGTGTAAGGAATCAGGACCCTCTGTCGTGTTTTCTATCAGTTTTAATAACATCCTGGGGACATTTAATACCTCTTGTATGTTCAAAAGGGTTTGATCAATTGCTGTTCCTTCAAACCCATCAAAAGCATGAAGCTGTTCTCTTTGCTCTTAATCAAATAGTGCCGCTCTTCATAAACTGTCAAGAATCCGTTATCAATTTGGAAAAATTTCAAATGATAATTTTGGGCCTTTTAAACGCGGATCGAACATATATAAATATTGCAAAAAGTTTGGTAACTGTGCAGAACACGATTTTGGAACAATTCGGAAACATGATTGAATCACAGATTGCTAATTACAGTTGGTACGGAGTGGAAAGTCCAAGGTATATTGTTAGATTGTGGATAAACTCTTTGGTTTCGGTCCCAAATTGGAATAGGGATTATGGTGTTATGTATTTATTGGATATTATGATTCGAGCTTCTTTATCCTTTTCCGACACATTAGACGTCATTGTTAGCATATTGAAAGAGTTGTTACAGGTAGGAAGGCGACAATTGCTGAATTTAGATTTTTTTAATATCGAAAATTACTATTAATATTATCTAATTTCAGTGTGCAACACCTCAAGAACAAACTAATTCAATCGCATCGTTGTTCAAATGGGTGTCTCAATCTAATTCGCAAAACACCCTACTTATAAATAGCTCTCTCTCGAGTTGTCCATATTTGTCGTACATCATGTTTAGAATTGAGTTTGAAGAGCGAGAAAGATCGACAGGCCTCTGGAATGAAATCTTACTGCAACTAAAAAATCAAAAAGGAAAAGTTAACGTTGATAATGCAATTAGAGTAAGAAGCTCAGTCAAGATATGTTATTAGATTTTTTTCTTTATCTGTATCTGTTATTTTCAGAAAGCGGCTAATAAATTAAAGTTGCCTTCATTTTCGTCTGGATCTCTAAGTATCTTTAGATGGGCTCAGCAGATTCTGGACACACCTATTCATCACCCAATCATAGTGTTGCTGTGGCAAAAATTCTTCTGCTTATATTTATATCGAGTTCCAATGTGCGGGTAAGTTTCATAATAATTCAAATAAATTTCATGTGCTTATTTCTAAACTTGTTTAGTACCGTGGAAGGAGGCTGCGTGGGTGATAAATTCTTCGAAGGAATGATCAACTACAATTTTCTCCAAAGATTAAAGAAATGTCTTCAAGAAACTGTTGCTCATTATAAGAAGATAGTAAGCGAGTCTCGTTTCGAAGAACTTCCAGCTGTTAAGCAATTGTTCTATCAATCAAATTTAAAGTAAAAAATAGATTTATTAGTAATACAAATCCATTAACTTCGTTTTGTTTGTAGTTTATTCACGGCTTATAGCTTGTGGCTTGAGGAACCTCGTTTACAGGATGCCTCGCTGTACATCCCTGGGTTACCACCACAGTACGAACCCGTATTATTGAATTTGATAATGCAATGCAACGATGTGAGTACTATGAGATTTTGTAATTTTTTTTAATCCTGTTTTATGTCCGTTCTTCAGGCGCAATGGTTTACTTACGTTGATCATGATGTAATTAAAGAGCATCAAATTGCCTGTATCAAAACTTGGCGATGCGCAAATTATAGGGAGAGGAAAAATATTAATAAGCCGCTTTTAAACATTGGTAGTAATTACGAAGGAGATGATCCAGTGCAACGGATTTTAAGGCGGTTACATTCTTATGACACGCCCAAATCTGCACCCTCTATTACCATAACAAAATCGTTATTGGCTAATATTCAATGGCAGGATAAGCGCAGCATGTTTTCTTCTTTGAATGTATTTATAAAGACTATTCAGGATTTTGCTCAGTATGTTTCATAATATAAGATTAGCCATGTACATGTTTAACTTTATTTTTTGTAGCAACCATGCATTGCAAGTGTCTGAACACAAAGCTCTGGACAGTGGCTACCAAGAACGAGTGCCACAACTTTATAGATCATATATAAATAAAATCAAGAAATCTGTGCCTTGCACTGGTTCTAATAAAACGGTGAATTGCTCGGGCGCAGCTGTAATTCTTGTGGAAAGCCAGGTAAAAATCAGTTGATTTTTAGGTATTTCAAGTATTTTATTTTTGTTTTGTAGGAAGCAGCAATTAATGAACATATCGACATGCAAATACAGAGTAATAGAAAGGATCATGAAGTTTTGATCGCCAAATTTTTGCAAGTTCCGTCACAAAGTTTGTGCTTAGCGTCAATTAATCTTCAAAATGGTATAAGGTGAGAAAAACTAATATTATAAAGTGAAGATCATATTTCTATGTCATTACAAAATTTTAGTTTACTCCAAACACAGAGAGAAATGCATGCCGAATATTCAGCGTTAGGTGTCGAATTATTCTATTATATTTTGTCATTATTGAATGAAGAAACATCTAATTATTTGCCGTCCAAAAAGTTATTTACAGAGTGCATGGAAAGACTCGGACAGGTAAATAATTTATTAAAACAAATCAAATAATAAAAATAATTATATGAATTTAGATACATATTTATGGCATTGAGTCAGAGACACCGACACTTTTAAACAAGATTCTAAAGGAGCCAACGAATGGCATGTATTTAGTAACGCATTTTTGTCCTATCAATCTTGGCACAGCAAATTTTTTGCTTATGTACTCGATGATATCAAAAAGATGCGCTCAGCGATACGATTTATGGTACTCTTTATTATCAAAGGTAATGTTGAATGTTTATAAGTAATACAATGAACTAATTGTTAAATTTTAGTTTGATGTGACACATTGGTTGTTGAAAAATCAACCGAAATTGAGCGAAATTGTTCAACTTCAAGATATAATATTTCAGGCTCTGATACAGTTTGGTCAAGAGCCTGAATCGATTGTTGTGCACGAACATTATCGAAGACATTTAATACAGATATTTGAGTTTCAATTCCCAGAACATTATGGTGAAGTCCTTGTGCGTCTTTTAAAAGCCAGCACTGGTGCCGATGCTGGTAAGTGATATTATATTGTAATAAATTGATAAATACTGTAAGAAATAAATTATAGATTCTATATCAGTTAGTGTTTGGCTGGATGTGCTGAACTCGCTTTCAAAGCCTTTAGTTTGGGAAATTGGTGGAAATAAAAGAGATAAATTAAGAGAATATGCAACTAGCCAAAAAAAGTTGCACTATCAAGAAATTTTGGAGACCGCCCTCCTACTTTCCAGACATTACACTAATGACAGATTCCAATACGGTTTGTATGGGCTCTACCCGAAGACGAGAAACTTTGTTGATGTTATTGCTTTGTTGCTGGGAACAACCGGACATGCATTAATTATAAGCGCCCTGGAAACACATCAGGGCCTTTTAGGTAAGAATAATTTTTGCATATTTTTTTATTTATTCTATAGTTTAAATTTTAGGTGATAAAATTTGCGAAATTATTTGGCCACAACTACGGGACTTGTTTGCCCCGTGGGTTTTACCCTATTGGACCAACAATATGAAAGAAAATATGGCCAACTGGATTCAACAGTTAACTGACGATCGTACTGTTTTACTACCATGGATACCAGCTAATGCACCATTCGCCCAGAAAATCGTGGACATGTTCTTCGAATGTCTTCTGTTCCTTGTGCAAACGCTACCAGGTAAAATATATACAAAATGTTTATGTAAAATTCTATATAATTCTTTCAATATTTTAGCTAATAATATTTTAAGTTATGTATGGCAATGGTATGTATCAAATTTTGCTCATGTCGCTGTTAAGGATCATATTTTGAATGTGATACATCATTCTTTAATAAATTTACCCTGGAATAAATTTTGGCCTTCCATTCCCGATTTGGAATTTATGCTAAAGGTAATTTAGAAACTTTACATATATATATGTTTATCTTATTAATATTTTCAGTTGGTTGATCAATATGTGCCAGAATGTCACACCTTTTTGGGGCACATTTTTATTGAAATTCCTTGGCGTCCCTGGATATATACTTTAAACGAAAATGTAACTGCAATAACGGCGAAAGCCAGAATTTACCATTGCTTATTAAATATTTTGGTGAAACTCTCAAATGAACCGAATATGAGAAATAACTATGAGGATAGATTAAAGCCTTTGTTGATGCAAGCTGAAACATTTGATTGGAGTATTTTGGAAACAAATTCAGTGCAACAAGCGCTGGATTGGTATGTGATGAGCTGTGATCCAATGATTCTTTTTAAACGTGATTCTCTAGATTTAGATTATAGAATTATACAGTAAGTATATAATGTCATAAAGTATTCAAGAACAAATTAAATTATTACTTTTTACAGATTTTTAAGAACGGTATGTTGTTATACTGTAGCTTTGAACCATTATGACCAAAAAGTCCGGGAAAAAAGGCATATCTTTGTGCGGAGCTACATGAAATTAGTAGTTGTGTTTACAAATCGCTACAAGAATATTATACCCACTAAAGAAGTTGATCTTGTCAATGTGATAAAGTCTCAACTGAATGATATGGAAAATATTGTTAACGTTGAGGAGGACATGAACTTAATTTTAAGTGAAATATTGGCTGTGTTGAATCAAAGTTGTTTAAAGAAGTTTATGATTGAATGTTTTATTCAATGGATTGCTAGTCGTGAGGGCGATGCTATGGCTATTAAGAGTACTCTGATGGTTTTAGGCCATTCCGTTATGGATCCGGAAATTGTTTCGATTTTATACGAATCATGCATTCACACGTATTTTGAAAATAATGGTGAAATTATCTAAAATTCTAAGCGCTATCAATTGTTAATTGAATCTTAATTTCAGTATCAAATATGGATAAAACATCATGGAAAGAACTTTCGAAGTGTTTGAAATTTAACACCTTAAAGCAGAGTGTACTTACTGACGTATTAATAGTAAATGGAAGTATTTTCACTATGCACGTTCTCTTGCTTCAGAAAATTGATAGTTCGAAACCGTTGCTCAATTTATCTTTGCAGTGGTTACAGTCTATTAAAGTTACGTGAGTATATCATTACATGTAATTTCTTATCGTTGTTATCCATCTTTTTTTGTTTGTAGAAGTAACATCGAAGCTAAAATGCCTTTAATTTGGAGCGATATTTTGGATATGTGTTTCGAAAGCTTGAAGACGAATGAAGCTGCAACGGCCACAGCCCTGTATAAATTCGCGAAATGTCTCTTACAAATATCCGAGCAAAAGGATGGAATGAAATGGGGTGTTTTATTAAACGTCATTGGTATAGGCAAACAAAATGAAGTTACCATTAAGTAAGTATGTCTAAACGTAGTAATTTATAATTAAATGCATTTTTTTTTTATAGTTTTAAATTTGTGTGTCGAGCTGTGGGCGGATACGTTTTAGCCCAACTTCCCGAATCTAAGGGTAAATCTCAAACAGTTAGAAGTACTCCAAATTCGCCTTGCACAGTTGGTCAACCGGGGGGTAACGCTGAGGTGTCCAAGATGTTACTCAAATTAGATTTTGGTCAGTCTCAAGGAAAAATCAAAGAATGTGCTGAGGGAGTACTGAGACAAGCAAGTTATTTTTACTTTTTCAATATGACCAAATATTAATGTTCGTATTGTTTTTAGATTCAAGATCCAGCCAATTCATTGCATAACGTGAAAGATTTTTTGAACAACATATTGCAACAGTTCTATACATATAGTTATTTAAAGGAGATGGATTAATATTTTTCTAAAATATATTTTGTAACTGTTTTTAAGACTATGTTTAATCATATATTAATTTTTATATGTGTATTATATATTTTACTGTTACTCTTTTATTTTCAATTATATTTTAATCTTGAAATATATTACAACGCTTTTCTAATTTCTAAACTTTTATTAACACATTAATAACTTATACATCCTAGAAACCTTTCTGGCCCAACCAATATTTAATTGCATTTACATAATCACCATGGAAACAAATGTATCCAACAAATTCATTTACTTGAGCTTGAATAGGTTTCAGTTGTTCTTTTTGTAGGAATTCTTTGAGATCCTTTTCCAGCATCCAAATATCCCCTTGCACTTTCTTCAGATATGTTAGTCTACGCATTCCTCTGTAACTGGTTTTCATGTATACAGGCATCATATGATTTTTATTCCTTTGAATAAAATATGGTTGATTTACGACCTCCTCTGACTGTGGTCTCCATTCAGATAAATACTCATCTTTCTTTATTATATTTGGTACTACTTTTGGAGGTAAAATTCTCTCTACAAAACTCCATTCAACTGGATCTTTTGAAGTCTCATATTTCACTTTGGAATCATCAACATCATGAATAAATGGTGATGATCTAAATGAAGAGTATCTACATGATATAGCCTAAAAATATATTAATTAATGATATTTACATATTAGATTAGTTAATTACTTCAATTGTTGGTATAACTTTAGGTTTCAACAGAAATCTAAATTTTGATGCTAAAGATGCCATTGTTATTGGATTTATTATTTAATGCATATAAATGTTGATATTTCACATAACCTACTACCGGACTATTTGAGGTTATATTGGTTTTATGTCATTCAGATATCAAGCGCGGTTCAATCAATGCTAATTTAGTACTTTAATAAATTAACAAAAAGAATCATTGAACACGAAAGAAATTTTCTAAAATATTGAATATTAACTCTATATACACTTTTTAGACATTAATTGATTTTTTTGAGGTCAATAGACATTTTGTAGCCAAACCTCTTAACAAATACTACTTGATGCAACTATTGCTTCAATAAATCAGGAAGATCAAAGAATATTTCAAAAACTATTTAAAGCTATGTACAAATATTCACCAGATTTTTAGTTGTTATTATATTTATTTAATTGGTTACTTATAAAGAAACTGAATGCACATTTAGATTTAATTCTGATGTGAACTAATAGATTTATAAAATATATATTTTATTTATATTACTAATTTAAAATAATTAATATAAATTATAACAAAAACAAATCCTCTATTCCATTTAATTTTACATTTCCTGTCCTAGAAGCGAGAGTTGCTTCAAAAACTGTTTGGCATTATTTAAAGTTGACGCTCCATACACGATGCGTTTTGTATTTCCTGAAGCTGTCTTTTGCTAAAAAAGAAAAGAGCAATTTGAAGATTCAAGAAACTTTTAAAGAGATCAATAATACCTTAGCATAGTCCACCAAATTTTGATATTCGATGTAATTGCCACCGCCTACTATGAATACAAATGCGTCTTGGAATGGAGATCGATTTCTTGGAATTTCAGTTAACTTCAATTGCTTTGGATCCAAATAATGGTACTCGTCCATCTCTTGGCTGCTCTTAAACTCCATTAAATGATCTACAATCCTCGTAACTGGCAAGTTCTGGAAAAGACAACGATTTTTATAGACAGATGATAGGAATAAAATAATTCAACTTACATGACGTTTCACAACCAGATTTTTAACGCCTTCCATAACGAAGGATGATCCTTGTGAAACGAGTTTAGAGAACATGTTCACAGTTTTAGTACCAGCTCCTTCATATTGATTTTGACCAGTAACCATTTTTGTGTAGCTTCTAAAAAAGTTAATTATTTTAAAATAGTTATATTCGTCTATAACGAAATAATAACATACTTCCATCTTTTTATATAACCCATCGGTGAAAGATCACAACCTGCTTCAGTTAAAACCGATTCGAATTTCCTGTATTCAGCTTCGGTAATTTGAGGAGTGCATATATAATAAACTATGAATAAACGCATTTTATCCTGGGGTGTTCCAATCTCAGCATCTCCAATAATATCTAATATACTCTTATCCAAGGTCGCTTTGCTCATTATTTTTTCTTCAAATTCGAAGAAAGTATCCAGTTTCCTTGATTTAATATAATTTAAGATAGCTTGAATATTAACTATATTAGTAAACAAATACTTTTTTAATGTATACTTTCAATACCTGTTGCAACAGTTGTGTGCATATCAATTAAACGTTTCTTTTCCAGCAATTGTGGCAAAGAGTTAATGGCAGATGTAATTTTAGCTGTATTATCTGTTACCATGGTCATAGCTACATCATTTTCGCCATCAATTCCCATCGAAGACTTCAATTTCTTAACTTCTTCTTCCGACGACCTATACTGTTCCAATTCTTCCTGAATTGCTTCTGCAACTATAGGAAATGGGGAACCCTTATGGCTCACCCAAAATTTATCTTTGGCATCTAATTCACAAGACCTGTTTTTAGCTCTTGCACCTCCCGATGGCGTATGCTCTTCGACAACAACTCTGTTTAATGCGAAATCTAGAACATCGTGAGCCAAGGCTTGGTATGTCCAAGTGTGATGTAAAGGCGTGGCCATATCAACATTTCTATCCAAAATGATAAGCAGAGGCCTTTGGAAATTAAAGTTTCCGGCTTGTGCATCGGAATTAAATAAATTGTTGCGGGCATCAAAAAGGTTCTCTCTCAATTTTTTATCTAACTTTCTTGCAACCATTTCAGCTGCATTGCCCTTAGGACTCCTGATGATAGGCACGTTTCCTAATATTAAAAATAATATTAACAATTATTTTTTAACTATAATATCAATTTACCTAATGTCACAAATACTGAAAACAAACTGTCTACCATTATATCCATTATTTCTTCCATCTCTGAATCTTTACTATCACCCTTATTTATTGCTGTAAAATTAAATATATTTTAATTGTAGCACATACATGCAAATTTGTATAAACTTACAATAATAAGAAAGATGGTCACTGTTTTGGTGCCTTAGAACAAACATATCATCTTCCAATGATATAAAATTAACATACTGATCATAAACCTAAAACATTTAAAAAAATAGTTTAAAAACTCAAATATAATTATCTTTTTGTTTTACCTTATGAATATTAGCAACACAATTTGCTTGCAAAGCAGCTGATGCTAAATCCTCAAGCTTTTGCCTAGTTATAGGAGAGATGAAATTTAAATGGTAAATGTCATATACTCCCTTTTGAAAGTCTTGATTAATCCTTCCTAAGTTTTCCTCAGTTGGTGCACAGAAGTAAATGGCAGGAACTTCTGGAATGGGATCCCGATCTGAGTGCAGTTGCCTAAAATTACAAAGACTGTAATAATTCATAGTTCATTTTCATTTTCTCAATAACTTACACATAAAGTGTTACACCCAATTCTCTCAACTCTTTCACTGAAATCAAGGGTGAGATAATGTCTTGACCTACTCTGTCATAAACAAGCACCTTCCAAACTGGCTCAGATGATCCCAATTTTGTTTGCGGTTGGTTCAAATTTAACATTTGCTTAATAGCATCTAAAATTATATTGAAGTTAATGAGAACATTAATACATCTTTTACTTTATTTATAAAATAATAATAATAGATAAATCAACTTACTTATCTGTTTTTGTCTCAAAGAAGTCATCTTAATTTATCTTTTAAAATAATTTGCAACCCTTAAAAACTAATATCTTAACAACATATACACAATATTTTGACTGTTCTTGACGTTTATCTGACACATCTCATGCCATTCTATTTTCCTGTTGAGTTGTGACGTGCAGTAACGTGACGTGTATAATTTGAGAATTGATATTTATTCAAATTTAAAGTTAGTAATTATAAATTGTTAATGGTTATATTATATTAGAATTTATAAAGGAATAGTTATAAACAAAATATAATATTTATTAAAGTAGTTCAAAAATTATTAATATGGCCTACTATAAGAAAACAGACTAAAAAAAATCGAAATAATATTTTAATTATTTAATTGGGCTTTTTCAGCTATTTTCATGTATGTTAACATACATTATATTTAATAAATATAAATAAATTATATTATTTTTACTCTCATATGTTTTAATGGCATCAGTCAAAGTTTCATTATTGTATGTAGGAGCTTATATCAGAGATCCTTAATATTTCCAGTCTACACATTTTCTGTAACCTACTTTAACCTCTGCAACCTTCAGTTGGAGGAAACGGAAGTGATTCTTTCAACATATCTAAGCTTCTTTTCAATTGGTTAATATAATAGAAATGTGGCAATACTAGTTTAATTAAATAAGTAATTTTAATTTTATACGTTGAAAATGAATATACTTCGATAGTGATAATTATTCAGGTAATACTATAATCGTTCTATATTATTAGATCTAAAATATTATTTTTAAATACATAATGTGTTTACGTTAAATTAAAAATCGTTTATATTATTAGTATGTAATATTTTATTTTTTTATTCATATAACGTATGTTTACAAAACGCTAATGGTCAAACATTTATTTGAATTTCCCGCCAAGGTAGACATTTACCGTAGTTTACATTGTTGCTGGTCATTTGCATGGGAGACGTTGAAGAAGTAGCATCACAGAGCATTTTATTGCTTTCAGCGCCATCTAGGAAGCGTTGGCAACGTCGCAGTACGGTGTTATGATCCTCGATAGACTTCAAATCTACGGTGACAGAATTTAAATCACAATAGTGTAGTAGTTTGTATTGGTAGTGTGTGTCGCGGCACCAAAGCGAGGCAGAAATTCTGCGAAGATCTTGCATTGAATTTGATGAAATTAAGTGGATTATAGTGTAGTGGACTTCAGAATGGTGTTAGCAGAGAAGAATAGTGAAAATGCGAGGAATGGACGCAGAAGTCGGGGGCCGAGCCCCAATGGTCACGTTCAAGAGTCCACAAGCGAGGATGAAAGCTCAGGTAATCTACTTTATTACTAACGTACGGATTATTAAGAACATCTCAACTCTTCTGATTATTAAACATATTGCTCCAGTATGAGGATTATTTAAATATTTTAATGTTAGCATCTTCTTAGATTCTGGAGCATGCTCCTATTGGGTTATGCCTCCTCTTTTCATTTATGATTGTCTTGCTAATTGTATTTTATAGCTACACTCAAGCCCAGTGACTTTGTTTCATTATTATGCTTGAATATTATATTCTGTTAAAATCATATTTTAGGTTATTTATGAAAACCTTTATAAAATATGTATGTTTATACATCGTAGACCTATGGATAGCATAGATACACATAAATTGAATGGTAAATTAATAGCATATTTTCATAGTGACCAAGACATAGAGAAATACAGAAAATGCCTTAAACATAGAGAATGCTTCAAATATGAAGTAATTATTTTATTTAATCTAATTTGAATCATTTTCTATTTCCAGTATTCCAAACAATATAATCTTTTTATGCTTGACATATTATGGTTAAAAGAATATTTTTAGTTCCAGTTGATAAAATTCGAGTGGGCAGAGATTATCAGGCAATATGTCCGGAACTACAACCAGAGGCTTTACGTAAACCAGATCTGCTAGCTGATAGAGCGCTCTTAGTATGGTCACCAACAACAGATATTCCAGAAATTAAATGTATGTTTAACACTGTATATCTAGATATAAATATTAACATTTTAATTTTCTGTTGCTTAGTGGAAGAATACATTGTGTTAGCGAAAGATAAATATGGTTACAATGGGGAGCAAGCATTGGGTATGCTTTTTTGGCATAAACATGATTTGGACAGAGCAGTGTTGGACTTGGCAAATTTCACACCCTTCCCAGATGAATGGTCAGTTGAGGATAAAGTGCTTTTTGAACAAGCCTTTCAATTTCATGGTAAAAGTTTTCACAGAATAAGACAAATGGTATGAGTTTTATTGGTGCATCTAAAATCAGAGTTTTAAGAATCTGTATCAGCTTCCAGATAAAAGTATTGCCAGCCTTGTTAAATATTACTACAGCTGGAAGAAAACACGATCACGTACTAGTTTAATGGATAAGCAAGCTAGGAAACTTAATGCTCCAAGAGATGAAGGTGCTCCATCAGAGGGAGGTTCAGAAGGTGGATCGAATGATGATTCTGATCATGATGACAAGGTAGGATTATAGAATGCATTCAAATTTCTCATGGATTTTTTTTTATTAAATGAAATAAACACTGTAAATACATATTTTTTTATGTACATATTTATTTTTCGGGTTCCCAAGAAACATCTAAATTGAAATGCATGTTTTAATAATGTGTTCAGTTTATTAATGTAGAGGCATGTTTGTTTTTTCTTAAAAAAAAAATGTTTCTAAATTTGATTGTGGGAAAGTTTTAGCTTTATTCTCTTTTGTGAAAATTTATTATAATGTTTTAGCTTTTTATATTCAATGAACTTTAAAGATTGACATGTTTGTTTGTGGGTGTTTGAGTGTATGTTGAAAACTTTGAATATCGTATATGTGCGATATACAGTATCAATAATGTTGTAAGAAAAGCGTATTTGAGGACCAGTTTAATAGTATTGAACGATAAATGTTTGTGATGTAACTTTGGGCACAGATTGGTTGATTATTTGAATTTGCACACACTCACACCTAGAAGGAACTTGATTCTTGTCTTTGTTTTCGTGTTATATTGTATAGATGTTATTGTCTTACAGAAATGGACTATACATCGAGGAATACGTCGTAAAAGTGGCTCGCCACTTCGTGCCGGCCAGGCACAAGACGAAAATACTTCTCAGGTAGTTCAAATCACTCTAAAAAATATACAATCTTTAAAAGCAACATACCTATATTGGCAGAATGATAATAGATATATGTCTTACATTCAATTCAGTAACATAGTGCAATCACACGCGGAAAATATGATATTTCATTAATAATAATTGACGATAAGCAATTTTGTTACTGGATTTATTCTATATCTTATGTTCTCGTTTCCTTTCAGCGCTTATATTTATTTATTTTTATTTCTTAAAATCACACCGTATTTATGGACATTGGCTATTATTATATCTAGAAGCATTTTCTTTCTTTAGATAAGTAGGTTACTACAATATTTCGTTTATGTTTCATAGAATTTGAAGGCATGGTATGACTTGCTCCCAGAGAAAGCACACATTTATTATTTAAGTAGATTTATTTGTGCTTTTACATATTACCCTTTTTATATTCAAAGAACGCATTAAATTCATCATCTTTATAGCAAAACTTTATTTAATATCAATAGCTATAAAATTGTCATTTCAATAATATGAGGGGTTTATTTCTTTTACATTTTATTTACAAAACTATTTAACAATTATTTTAAATATGATCTACTACACTCTATTACATACTATGAAATCAAGTACCATCTAGAAGATATCGTGTAGTAATCTGTTAAGGCGGGAAGAATCTAATATTATATACATATTATATTGTATTATATACATATTATATACTTATTTTCTAGTTCCTAGTTGTTAGATAATAATTTTAGTTTGTAGCTTATTTATAATAATTTTATCAATTTACACAATTATTGAACTTAATATTTATAATATATGATATAACTAAGATAAAGTTTTCATAACGTTGTATCTAAAACATTCTATGATATTGAATCAAATATCAATATATAATAATATTTATTGCATTAATCACATAATAATTTAGTTAAACAAAATAGAAAAAGATGAATATTGAAATGTTTGACAAAAAAATAGAAACTATAGTTCTATACATTTTCTATTATTTATAATTAATTATTCTGTATAGATGTTTCTATATATAATACATATATTGATAGAGGGTTCTGAAACAGTAATATTTCAATTGTTGTATTTGAATAAGGCATTTATTTTCCTTGTAAAGTGTATAAGTCTGTCAATGAATGTTTTAGTTCTTTGTTTACGAAAAGGGTAACATCCTAATAACAATGTGCATGCCAATTCACATATAAGTTTAGTGCTAGCAAATTGATACATTACGAAATCCTGTATACCTAGAACTCGAAGGTGAGGTTGTTTAAATCCCATGGAAGAGGCGCATTCTTTAATCGGAATTAAGCAACGTCCCTGGCGTACATCCTTAATTCATTATCACACAACACTCTTTGTGGTTTATTTGTTTGGGTTTGGTCGGTATGATAGTTGTATGTGTGTGCAGGGTGAGAGAGGCTCGTGTTCTAACTGCGGAGTCGGCTGTACCTACACACAAGTAACTCCCAAGGGGACTCTATGTAATTCCTGTTTTCTTCATTGGAGGTACGTTGAAGATAAAAAAGTTTAATCAAAGCAATCGTTTTCGGTATAAATAATATACTTACATATACATAATAATAGTGTCTGAAAAGAAATTGATTTTGTTTCGATGTACCTCCTTCGTAGACGAACGGGCATATTGCGACCCACCTCGGGTCCTACAGGCGGGAAAAGGGGTACTGTCCCAGGAATCAGACACAAGCGTAAACCCCCGCGTGGCATGTACATCAATCACGACGATTTGGCCGCGATGGCTACAAGTGGCGCAGGTGTGCTTATGCTCAAGGCACTTAATCGCGAACAGGATGCTCTCCAAAGACAAGTAAGTATTTTGCAACGCTAGAAACAGAAAAAAAACTCAAATTATCTGAAAGTATATCCAAAACAATCCATCACAAACCACACCCCAACCCCTCACGTAGAGAAGAAAGAACAGCGATACTTCGCCTATGGTATTTACATACATCTCTTGTAACTTTCTATAATTAGATATGCATGCATCGCTATTCTAACAAAACCAACTTTGTAGAGTATGTTTTGTATCAAACATCCAATACTTCCTCTAGACCTTAGAACTTACCTTCTTTAACGACTGAAATTTGGAGTTCTGTATTGTTTTAATTCGTTTTTTGTTTTTGCTTGTTTGCTTTTTCTTTAGGTCTTACTTAGCCTTAGCCTTTTTCTATTGTATGAATGAACACTTACTAATTGTATTTAGTATTGCGCTTTCTTCGAAATTTATTTACTATAAAAGTTTATTATTACTGTTAATACTTTATACAATATCAGAAAGTAAAGGAAAACAAACTCAAACCAAACATAACATAGCCTCTATTGGTTGTTTATCTATTGACTAATGTGACGTTATACCCAAGAAATGTAAAAATTAAAGAAAAGACAACCATCCATTACGTCAGTTCCATATTCCGGTAATTACTGTTCAAAGTAGTCCAACGTTCGATTCAAATACAATAAATAAATATGACCTACGTAAAAAGGAAATAAGTATGCTTCAAATGTTAAATACGATGTTTAATTTATTTTGCACACAGTTTAGAATGATTTGACTACCTCAAAATCAAATTGAAATTGAGAAATCTGCGAGGAATGTGTGAAATGACAAGCAGTTTCATGTACATTCTGTTTCGTTTGTTTCAGATACAGCAGAATAAGCAGCAGATAAGCTCTCTGAAACGGAAGCACTCTGATTCAGTTGAGGAGCTTCGCCCGAACAATGAGAATTCTTCGAGGATAAATGCGAGATGGACGAACGAGGAGCTTTTACTGGCTGTGCAGGGTGTGCGTCAGTACGGCAAGGACTTCAAGAGTATAGCTGAGGTTCTCGGAAACAAAACCGAGAGTCATGTGAGGTCGTTCTTCATTCAGTACCGCAAAAGGTACGACTTGGATAACGTGTTGAAGGACTACGAAAAGAACAATGGACCGATTGCGGAAGACGTTGAGGATAAGATGGAAATAGACGAAAGCGGCAATGACAATAGCAGCGACGTAATATGCTTATCACCCTCCCCAACTGCCAACAAGAAAGAGTTAAATAAAAACAGTAAAATTGCCGTATCACAGGGCAAATGATTTTATCACAGTGAATATATTTATATATATAATATAAGTTTTTTTTATCGTTTCAAAAAATATTTGAGATGTCTTCTGCGGAAAATCTCCGATCTTCACTATCCTTTTCCGTGAAGATACTACAACATTTACCAATTCCTTTATTTTTTTTGGTGGTTGATACAACCAAAAGAAAACTGCATTAAAAGTGTGTTCATCGTAGATCTTGTCGTTCATTATTTTATAATAGTTATATAAATATATAAATATGAGAATATGTCATCCGCAATTAACATTTGAAGAAATAAGTAATCTGTGTATATAGAAGTAATTTACACTTAGTATTAATTTAATTTAACAAGAAAAAAGATATATTCTTCTAATGGAAATTAATTTAAATTGTTTTGTAAGTATGTGGATACAATGCAAATTATACATATTCCGAATCAACATTTGAAACACCTAAACAATCATATCTGCCTGGCAATGTACTGTTAGCAACGTTTTTATTTTTTATTTTGTTTTGTACACGAATCACGGACGAAACGGAAAGATTGTTTGATACTGTTATTCAGAGTTGTGAGGCCACAATCTCTGAAATCGAAGCTGCTATTTTTTGTATGAATTTTATATAGTGAACGTGTGAATTGATTGAATAAATGTCTTTGGAACGGCGTTCCTTGCACAGAATTTTCCAGTTTTTGGAAATGGATGGACCTATTCTGAAACGGAAACAAACTATGATATATATATATTTTTCAAACTGTATTCCGGAAAATTAAATAATAAAATGAGAAAACAAGAGATAGGATTTATTTATAAGGAGAATGTATATTTTTATATAGTTTTAGATCTTCCCAATTATTCATTATATTTTTTTTAAAGCAAAGTTATATATTTTTTTAAAAATTACTTTTAGTTGTATTTCGATTAGGTCAATGGCTCGTTTCTATTTATTCAAATGTAGACTGTTCCTTTCAAATGAACTCCTCTCTAATTCTGTTTCTTTTTTAATACTTGCCGAACCTTTAACGATATTTTCAATGTACACCTTCCTTTTAAAAACCTTACTTTAGCATTTTATTGTCTAAATATAATTGTTTATAAATTAATAACTTCGATACACATATGTAGCAATAATAGTGTATTATTTTCTACATTGAAATTAACTTGTGTTGGATTATGTTTAACTTAAATAAGATTTCTTAACCGTAGTAATTTAAGCTTAATGTTAATTGCAGTTGTATATTTAAATGCGTAAATATACACACACATACACACAAATATATATATATTCCATATAAGTATTTTCCATTAAAAAGCTATTTATTTTTATTTCGATGTATATTTTCGATTCAGTTCCCAAACCGATATTTTTTTTTAAAAAACTACATCTCGGTAGAATTGAAATGATTATGCACAGATACAATTAGCACTTTATTTATCGTTTTATGCATGTTATATACTATACAGAATAACGTTACTGTTAAAACTATATGTATATATATATACATACATATTTTGATCAACTAGAAAATAAAGTTTTTAAAATGATATTCTTCAGTATACGTCCTAATCATAATTGTATTTTACAATGAAAAGTAGTTCAGTTTATACTTAATTCCTAAACAAGTAAAACCCATATAACCCTATACTAACAATTAAAAAAAAAAACTAAAATAAATTGAGGCTTTCTTATTGAAAAATAACATATAAAGTGATAATAATAAACTCTTAATAATTTTATTTGCACTTCTGAATTTTATATCACATTTAGATTGGATTTTCTGGATAAAGATAACTGTTATATTCCAGACAATAGTTGCAACATTTGCTGATGAAATTGTATATTTAGACAGCATTACTATTTTTGAACAATAGCACGGAATAAAGTAGTGACTCAGGAAACGTATTAAACTAGATGAGTGTCTTGGATAACACGATATACTTTAAAAATATATTTCAATGCGAAAGTAGATGGGAGTTCAAATCGGTAATTTTGGCTTGAAGACACAAAGTTACAATATTCTCTTTACATTTATATTTTATAAATGAACTATTTATGATATTAGTACTACATGTGTCTTACAATATTAAAATAATTAGAATAATTAATGATCGTGATCAACAAGAATATCTCGAATATATCTTAATTATATAAATATTGCACATAAGAAAAATAACATTTATGTATAATGTTGTAAATATAATAAGTATGGTCGATCGCAGTCAATTGACACAATAAAATTTTCTTTAATATAATACGTTTTTTAATATTGTTCTAATTCCTAAGATCTACTACTATTTATATTTGACTTACCTTTACATCCATACATATCGTATCTTATGGAACTAATTCAACAATCCTATTATATGTACAATTTTAAACCATTCTTTTACATTACTTTACCATATGGTATCAAATGTATTTCTTTGGCGATGTCTGCTATATACAAGTTAATATCAACAATATTTAGGGTCTTCTTTATGGTTAATCTCCAGAAACTATAATATTTTGTTGATTTCTCTTATTCAAGTTCTGATTCATATTTTGATATATATTTGTCACATTTATTTTTTTAGTTTTGTATTTGTACTGCCCGAAGAAAATATTTCAATTAAAAATGATATAAAAAATGTGATGATTGGAAGAAAGTGTAAACTCAATACGATGTACCAATGAATAGCGTAATATGAGGACTGTCTGAATTTAATCCGTTCCAGCCCAAATTTTTATTCAAAACTTTATAAATAATTATAAAAACTTTTTACCTGTTTTTTTTTCATTAATCAGCATTACCTACTATTAAAAATACATCTAGCTTCAATTTATATAAATTGCTGCCAACAGTTATAATCGTCGAAAGACAAAATTGAATTAATGATTCCATTTGGACTCACTGGACTGGAAAGAATTAAATGATTGAGATTAAATAAATTAGGATTTAAAAACGTTGAATTACTTAATGTTTTGAAGTATTTGAAATTTAACAATTACGAGGCGCGTATCAGCGTTTATGGGATAGAAAGGACGTAATAAAATTAAAAGAAACTGTTATTTATTGGTTAACAACCATTTCCTCTTTAATTACTTTACTTTGAAATTCATACAAGGTATATTCTCTCAAATAAAAGACCTCCTTTATATGTAAATCGTTTAAACATTTACATTGTATTTTCTGAAAAAGAAAAGAAGGATATTGTATTATACATTTCATTTTTTTTTTTATAAATTAGGGTGAAAATAAATAAATAATCGATTATTTATTATATATTATAATTAGTAATTATTTGAATATGTACAACTTTACATCTTATTTAGACTAGATAATGACACATAAATACATATTACATTAACTGGACACGTAATTATCTCAATATATCTTAAACTAGTTACATTATATTTCCCAAGGATTTTGCAGGATCGCTTGAAATGCATTCCGGAAAGTCCTTCGCGCGTATTAAAAACACAGTTTAGTTCTAAAACGGGAAAACAAAACGTTTCGTCCGCATCACGGTGTCTGCCCTAGGAGCATCTACTTAAACGGTGTTTTTAATTCGTGACTTTAGAAATAATAAATAGATTATTTATGTATATATATATAAATCTAAATACATTGAAAATGGAGCGATTTGCTAAACATGTATAAAATGATACATTGAACGGACACACAATTTACAAACATACGCACTTCCCCCATTATACATATTATTTAATTAATTTAGTTTAGTTTTCATCTTTCTTTTTTAGATTATTTCTTATATGTGTTTTCTTTATGTATTTACCATTTTTTTTTTAGGGGAAAATGAAGGAACTATTTTTAGCGACTAGATGGTTCACTTTGAATTACGAAAGTTATTTAATTAATTACATTTAAAAACAAGGTGACTTAACTATTTATGATACACGCTCTAAAATTAATTGGTAAGAAAAAAATATTCCGTTCGAAATGTTTTTCTTTTTGTTAAACAATTCATCGAACCATCCTAGCTGATATTTTCCAAAAAATCGTTGTTGTATCAGAATCTAAACGAAAGAATTAAAGATCTGTTTTACATATTTTTTTTTCCACAATTCTTAAATAACGTTTTCTGTACTTGCTCTCCTACATCGAGTGAAGACAATTTTAATTACTTTTTTTTTGAACATTTTTCGATTGGTATATATACTTCTTTAATTTAGTTTTTTTTTCTTTATGTTTTTGATTTGAATTACTTATGCACAAAGGAAACCGATCAAACATTGTTTTATTTCTCCTCCTTGCGCATTATTTATTATGTTTGATATTGGAGCATCGGTGCTGCTAAATTCGGATGGTGCGTGGAATTCATCCTCAGAGCTGATAAACTTTTGTTGTACCATTCATCTTCAGCGCTCATACCTAAAACATAAAAAAAACGTAATTATTATTCATCTATAGTGTAATCAAATTTGTTATAGAAATTCAAATTATTTTAAATAAAATAAAAATTATGTTTAACAGTTAACATAAAACGTCTATACTTAAAAACTACACTTATTTCATGTAATTTTAGTTATAAGAGAAGACAAAATCGTTGAGCTACTAAACTATGTGTTTATAGAACAAACGGTAGATAATATTTTTGTTTATTCATTGGCGCCAACTTAAAGAATATATTTTGACTTTGTAAATATCGTTTTACACTGTACTCAATTTACACGGTTTCGTTTTACACGGTTTAAAAAAAAATATTGTAAATAACCTATCCCTCGTTTTACACGGTACTTTCTTTACATGTTTTCGCTTTTACGGCGTTCAAAGAAATAAATGTTAAAAATAATCGATTTACACGTTTTTCTCAGGAATTTATTCACCGTGTAAAACCAGGGATAGGTGTAATTGGTTTTGTTTGCTAAACGTTATATATTGGGTGAAATATAAAGTTCTGAGCATTTTGTACCATACATCGACCTTCTTCTTGAAACCAGCCTTATGCAAATGGTTTCAAACGGTTTTCTGGCTAATCTTCAGTTCCTGGGCAATGAAATAAGTGCTCGCATGCCGGTCTGACTCGACGATTTCCATGATTTTATCAACATTTTCGACGATTGGTCTACCAGAGCGTGTCTCATCTTCTACGTTCATATTACCAGAGCGGAAGCGTTGGAACCAACGCGTTGCTGTTGCATTCGGTAATGCATTGGGTCCATAAACAACACATTTTTTTTGGCCGCCTGCTCCATTTTTTCCCCTTGGTCACAGTACTGAAAAATGTTTCGAATTTTCTCCTTTTTTAGCTCCATTTTGGAACGCTCTAACACACAACACAGTTGTGAATTTAAGTCGTAGTATAGAATGTCAAGATTCAACTTATACTTTGTGAGATAAGACTCACTAAAGCCATCTAACAAAAAACGCTCAGAAATTTTTACTTCACCCAATATATATATATATACATATATTATTTAGATTTTTAATAGTAATGTTGAACTTTTCATTACTCGAGTGATAATGAAGATAAAAATATTCATTCAGACAGACTTTAGTTTTATACATATTTAAATCGTCAACAAATCTATTCGATCTAAGAAAAACAATGTGTGCTATTTTTCAAACTGAATATAATAGGTAAAAACAAGTATTCATATTTGTTTAATTGATAATTTGCATATCGCCTCTATGTGATTTGTAATATTGCTGTAAATTAAATTTAAATATTTGTAAATTAGTGTTTGGTAATAATTACAATTGACCATTGGAATTAATTTAAATTTAACTTGTGTACATGTGCTATTATTCGAATAATACATTACCAGTAACGAATTTCATATGTAGTTATTTTTTTTTATTGTTTTTGGCAATTGAAAATGTATTCGTTTCCCGGTGTAATATTAAACATTGATTTATAATTCCATCGGCATTGTTCCTTTAATTAAAAAAATATTTATATACGCTTTTCATATTTATTTGATAATTCATTGTCGATTAAATGAATTACATGCTAAAATTTGCAAAATTATGTCTTTAAATAATGTACTTTTCATTACGTTCATGTCTTGTGTAAATGTGAGTATTGTTAAGACTAGTTTGATTTACTAATAGTAACAGGCTTACTATTCTAATTTACTTAAGTACAGCAATCTCTCATATAGGGCGGTTTCAATCAGTCCGGATTCACTAAATTTTAATACAAAAAATAATAATTATTTTTGTATACAAAAATGATTTTTTATTTCATTTACTTCTTAGATTAGTCCAGTTTCAAACTGTCCGGGATTTTAGCGAATACGATTTTTCTTCAATGTGCCTGTTCTTATTAGAACAAATTATAATTATGATATGAATTATATGTGTAAACAAAAATTAAAATGTATTTTTTTCACAAAACTTTTAAAAATAGACCATTTCAAATTTATTTTATTTGAAAAAATACAGTAAAAAACTAATTCATTTATTTAGATAGGAAATTTCCTGAAGACGGAATGAGGTTTTGACCACATTGTCAATAATGTGAGACGGCCGCGTTGCTTCGAGGGCGTCGGTATTAGTTGAAAATCATCAGATGCAGGAAATGGAAACATCTTGGAAGATGTCGGCCGTAATCTTGGGCGCATCTTGGCGGAAGCAACGTAATTTCCGCGCTGGGAAAACGCCTTTTTAAATCCTTCCCATGCACGTGCAAAAGTAATTGTTTTCACAAAAAGAAGAAAATTAACTTAAATAAATAGCGAGATAGTGGTTTACTCAAATAAATATAGTAAATATTAATAATACTGTATAATAAATGTTTTTGTGCATTTTATAGTCATAATTGTATATGTTTTTTTTTGTAACGTTTATTTTATTCGAAACCTGCCAATTTTTGGCAATAAGTTCGGGCAGTGGACAAAAAAAATATAAAAACAGAAAAACAAAATAAAATAGGCGGTGAGCGGAATGATCTCCCATTGGAAACCTTCCAAATACATAAAAATAACTAAATAATAATTTGGCTAATGCAACTTGTTTATCCGTGATTCCCGGTATTATCAACGGCGGCGGGTTAGGTTCTTTTTTCTTGTCGTCGTTGACGTTCTCGATATTCAAGTTTTCATTGCTGAAAACCTGGCATCCATTTTTTGTCAAAACCATAGGTCTGTTCGTCTCTGTCTTCTGTTTTCTCAACATCTATTTCGCTCCCATTATCTGTGAAATTTTAAATATTACACTGCTTGGAACGATTCAAAATACATCCGCTCTCGTTCGAGTGTGCGACGCGACTGTATTATATATGTGGGACGGAAACATATTTGCAATGTTTTACTCGGAAAAATTGTTAATTAAATGTTTTATTTTTGTATCATTAATAGCAAATAATGTAATCTTGTTATGTATTTGACTATATAATATCGTAGAAAATTTTAATTAAATTTAAACTTTTTTCGAAATTTCAAGAAAACAATTCATGTTTAACAAATAAGTTTCTAAAGTTTCTTGACTATATTATATAAAATAATAATTTATCAATGACATTATTATAACATTAAAATAGTACTAAAATGCAATTTGAGTTGAAAATTATAGCCAAACATGAAATATCTTTTTATTATATTATCCAATTAAAATATTCAATTTAAGAAAAAAAAATGTCAAAGAAAATTCTACGTTCAGGAGAATAGATTTTAAAACAATTATAAAACCATTTGGAGTTGTAAAAGTAAACAACCGTAGATACAATGGGAATTTTATTGAAAATTAGTTTTATAGAAATATTAAGTTATATATTAATATTTAAAGTTGTTTTTTAGTTTTAAAATATATAGGACAGTAATGACATAAAAGAATAGGAACAAAGAATTGTAAAATAACTAAAATTAATCTTCAGATATGTGAAATTGGAATAGGTAATTCAACAATATTCATTTGTAATTGCTTTAATTGCATTTCGGTGCATGTGCAATGCGGTTTATTGTTTATACAAGCAATGCAGCCAATCTGCGTGTGTATGCTAAAATTGAGTTTAAGGATGCGAAATTCATTTATGACCAGTCTACAATTAAGATTGATTACTATAACAATTTATTATGCAAATATGCGCATTATTCACTAATTCGCTATTTGCATGCTTAACGAACCGAATTTCGCTGTCGGTCGGTAATAAGATTGACCAAACTATGATTCGTCAACTTTGTATCGGATAGGTTTTTGATTATTTAAAAAAAATGTATCTAAGAAAATTTGACACTCACCCATTGCGTCTTGTCGCATTCCCGCCACTGATGACATGTTTGTACCGTGCGACATCGAGAATGATTGAGCCATGCCTGGATAAGAGCTAGAGCTCATCTGGAAGAAGTAAGCAGTTCGAGTTAATTAAGTGGGTCTAGGCTTCGGCTGGGGATGTCGTATATAGATCTGAGTATAATCATTTTAGTCGATTTGCATTTTGATGTTTCCTGGCAGTCGGTGGTGGGCGGAGGGCGGTGGATATAGGAGAAGGTTCCGCGGCTTGGGTCCGTTTGCTTCATGGTCGGCGACGAAGGAAATGCGGTCTAATGTAACTAATCAACTAACCTGTTTGACCTCACTTAATTACGTTACCTGCATCCCGCTAATCGTTCCACTGAAACCCCTTACCCGAACCACTCTTGCCTTCCAACACTCTCACTTCTACTATACATTACATAAATCTTATAATTTTCAGTCTCTCTTAAAATTGAGATATTCTTTTATAATGTGATCCTATGAAATGGATATACTTTTTTTTATTCTATTACAAATTTATTTTTCATCTCGTATACACACCTGGGGATAACGATTGATGGCAGTGGGGTGCGGATAGGGTTGGTATCCTCGCGCCGCCCCCGGGTAAATGTTCCTCATCATGGCGCCATTGCAGCCTGGCAGGACGGATGGCGCTAAAGCTTTCTGCAACTGCTTTTCTTGCTTCCTATATTTCGCTCTTCTATTTTGAAACCACACCTAAAACATTAAAAATATAATACATAATTAGTATAAAATATAAACATCAACAAACAATTAGATGTTGTTTATATGCATAAGCTTTCACAAGAAAACTAGTTAAAAATAATTTGATATAAACAAATTTTGGAATATTGTTGTTGTTTCAATCGTATAATTGTGAAGACATGAACAGAAGAAAACTTACTTAAAGTATTAACATTGAAGATCAAAAGTTATTCTGAGTTAATATGTCACTGTAAAAAAAGGTTGCATAGCCAAATTATTTTAGAATATACTTTCTTAAAAGTATTTATCATTTGTGACAACTACTTTGAAAGCTTAATATGAATATGACAATCTTCAAACCATGATATAAAAATTAGGTGTGATTTTACGCATATTTCATTACATAGTGCTATTATCAAATGAAATTAATTATTTGGAAATTAATTAAATTTAAAATTGTATTGTAATGGTCTTTACTAGACATAGAAAGTTTATATTTATAATTTGAATAAAAAATTGAATAACATAAATCCATAATATTATTAAATATTTTTATTGGTCAAAATTTTGACGTAAAGATTATTGACCGAAGTAAAACTTGTGACTAAATTGTGTTTACACATACATATTTTAAATTGTATTATAGTTAATTAATTAATTAATTAGTCAATATTAATTTAATTTCTAGTGAAAGTCGCAAGTGAAATATGTTTATGTAATTATATTAATTATATTTATGTAAGATATATCTTTATCTATTGATTAATTTTATAAATTATTTTTAAAGTAGTATAAGATGCGGTCGAGTCTCAAGAGTTTGAAAGGATTTTGGTGTCGCATGAAACGTGTTTCCTAATGAAGGTCGTTAATGCCACGCTCTTAGACAAAGAGTATATTAGTTACAGAAGAGGAAAGTTCTAAGTAAGATTCAGCGAAGTTTTAATTGAGAAAGGTGAAAAACTTTTGGCGGTTGGTGGAAAGTACTTACGACATTTAATTGATTTTAATCGCGGGGAATTGGATTTGACAATGATTAGAACACGATGTAGTAATGCAATTAAATAGCGAGCGAGTTGTGTAATATATATGCATTGAAAACTATGATCTATGCTAATTCTATATAATTGGCTAATTCAAATGTAGTTTTTGATATGTTTGATATGAGGAAAAATATAAAAGTAGTAACTTTTCGGAAATAAAGTTGTTACTAAATTTGCGTAAAATAAAGTTAGATATCTATGGTAGTTTAGGCTTCAGAATATGGATGTCCTGGCGCATCCACCATATTACAAAATATGCTTTTAATGTATTGACATAAAAATCAACATATTTTTATTATAAAGTACTATACTACTAATGAATAAAATATTAAAATTCTCATTGATCTTGATAATATTAAAAATAAATATTAATTGTTATACCTTAATTCATGAAATACTTATAGTTTACTTCTTTATTGCATATTACATGAAACATTAAGTATACAAATTGAGATATTCATAAGTTTTTCCTATACGTTATTAATAATATTATATTTTTGTTACGGTAATAGTGATAAAATAATCTAGAATATTTTGTGGCATGAAATGTTGATTGATTACATAAATGTTGAGCGACGAGCATCGATTGCGCGGAAAATATATGGAATGAAAATGTTGTTCTTTCGGATTTAACATAGACAATGTAAATGATAAAAATGTGAGGTACGTACGAATGGACTGAAAGAGAAAAAGGAGAGAGAGAGCAAAAAAAAAAAGAATTACAAGAGAATGGAATACCAGACGAGTTTATTAGTATTCCTTTGATGTAATATCATAATGACACATTGTGTATGAAGTAAATACAAAATGAAAGGCATTTAACAGAACTATGTAGAGACTGTACCGCGGGAAACGTGCTTCATGTTCCCGTCCCGGCCGCCCTCGATCCCATCAAATGGATCCGTAATCAAGTTACCCCCACCCCACTTATCATAGGATGAACCGCCCCCACGCAGAGGCGCCCTGCACCAGGCAACAACATCCCCCAAAACAGCCAAACCACCCCCAGCCCATCAACCCCGCCGCCGCCGCCACTACCTCTGCCGCCACCACCACTATATAGTACATAGCCTCTACATATATATATGTATGCTATGTATTACTTTATATATCCATGTATCTCTCTATCCCTTCGCCAGGCTGTCTTTAAGGCGACCTAATGCATATTTTGCGACCTTATCGCCTCCTCTTCTTTTCTGTCTCGGTTTAGATTTGTCAACGTAACAAACTACGACAGCGCACGACGACCCTCTGTCTCTGTCTCGTTCCCTCTCCTTCTCTGTTTCTCCTTCTTGCCAACTCGTAACTCTCTTCTTGTCGCAAGATCCGGTGCCGTCCTTGCGCAGATCCGCTTCCAACCTATGGTTCCGAATGATTAAAGAATATTTTCCTCAACTTTTCCACGGAACTTCAATCTATTCCACACCAATTTCGACTTTAATTCTATTACCAGCACTGGAAATCTCAAGTTTTCCACCTGTAAATTATCCGTGAAACACTATACATTCTATTACATACATCGTTGATTGATTGATGAACATTGATCATAGCATGAAATAATTTAATTTATATTTCTTTCAAAACTGAAGTAGTTTTTATAATTATCTATATAAATTTAAATTAAATATATTTATGTAATAATTAGTTTGTTTTTTTCATGTTAGTTAACAAATAATTGATTACTCATCTTGTTTTGTCCCTAATATAGAGATTCAAAATATTCTGCTAATAAAGATCAGTAAGTCTAAATTAAGTGTAAAGTATTGATTATATTTAAATGAAAACATATGGACTAAAAAAATTTAATATTTTGGATGTACAGATCTATGTTGTAAATATAATTCAATTTATTCAATATTAATATATTGTAGATGGATTCTCAAGTTTTCTCCCTATGATATTTCCGTGCTAAAATGGTATTAAATGTAAGAAGTAAATAAATAATGATCAGTTATTATTTATGTTAACAATGATGTAAAATATTATTAATTTTTATTGATTATATGTTATTTGACGTTATAAATAAGCATATGAGCCGATATTTTAGAGAATGGTATAAGTTCTATATATCGAGATATTTAAGGGTATGCGTTTGAATCAATTTAAAAATAATGGCAAGCGTTAATCAATTCAGGTGATGTTTTTATCACTATAACCTGTTAAATTTTATTATGTAATAATAATTAATAACATTGCTAAAGCAAATATACGCTTTTTTTTTTAGCTTCAAACGGACTTATATCACTTCAAATAATAACGGAAATCGTGTTCCATTGAATGTTTAATAATAAATATAAAAAAAGGATATCTATATCTAACTAAAATTATCATTATCTCATTTTTTTTTTCAAAAAGTGGACTTATACAACTACAACGGCTCATATGAAAATATTGCTGCAGTAAAAATCTGTTTGTACATAAATTTGTTTTTTTTCTGTTTATTAATGTTTATTAATTCGGTAATTTATAATAAATATGTGATGTTACATCATTGTCACGCTATATTTATAATTACATCCATTTTGTATTTGCTAATTAATATATTAATTAATCATCAATTTCCTAGAAAATTGGAAATTATTAATGCATGGAAAAAACTATCTTAAATTAATAACCATCATTATTTTTGCCAATCTTAATATATTTAAGTAAAAAATATACGTTAGAAGATATTTCATTTATATATTTATTTATGTATATATCTTGAAATTATTAGTATGTATTTGTTTTAAAAGAACTCTCAAAAGTTTAAATTTAAAAATCATGACCCGGCGCATCCACTCATGCAATTCGTACAATGCGCATTTATTCGGGTGGAATTATTGAACAGAAGAAAATCGTTTGATAATAATATTATAGCAATGCAGTGGCGGAAATTCCCTCGTATAGAGAATATATTCGCTCGTAATTAATGTTAGGCTTAATTAAAATTTGCGTTTTTGGAATTATTAAATATTTATGAAGTGCGTCGGAGGAAAGCGGTTCTCGTTTTGAGATGAGCGCGCGGGGGGAGGTGACGGCGGCGGTTTTCTACGCTTTGGAGAACAGGCAAGAGACGGCTGAATTAAAATTCATGCTTGGCACCGAGTTGTCGGTTTCCGTGCATTTTAAAACAGTACATTTTAGGCGGCTGCTCTCTTCACTTTTCTCCCCATACACACACAAAACCATATATTCCAAAATTTATATGCAGACACAATACGAAAGCATCCATTTTGAGTATTTCTTCCGCCCTTATAAATCATAAAGGTTATTTTTAATCTTTATATTTATTAAAATATATAATTACATAATTATATATTTGAGATTTAATTCATATAGTTTTATTGATTAATGTATTTACCGACTTGTTTATTGGTAATTTGACAATTATTTTCTTTATTAAAATCTACATATTTTTTTTTATTGCTATTAAATATGAATAAAACAAAAATGGATATTTTTTCTAATTGTCCACCAATTGTTTATTTTTCATTGATTTAGAAAAGATAATTTATTAATGTATGTAATATATGAACTTTTCATTACTTGACTAGCAAAGTTATCTTTTATAATCCAACGTTTCTCAAACTTGTTACTTCACTATCCAGCTTATTTCTCTGAATGTTCACTAAAACCCAATTGTTTAAAATTTAAACTATAGATTCTATCGTAATTTGTCAATAGTAATAATCAAGAAAAACATTTTTATTCAATTATATTAAAACATATATTTTCAATTTTGACGATTACAATCAATATTATTAAGTAAAGATTATTGGCGGTAGAAATAAAATGTATTATCTAATTTAAAATGATGAATATTATTAGAATTACAAAAGTAAACCTAGAATTGGTTATATTCTTTAATCCATTCATATTAGTGTATTCAAATGCTTCTTCATACAGGTTGAATATATAATACAATGTAAATGCTTTCATTATATTATTATTTCATTATATATTAATCAATAAGAGAAAATAATTATATATATTTATAAATTGATTGTTTCAATCTGATAATGATAATTTAAATGATATTAAAATTGAAATAAAAATTTGGGACTCGAATAGATTTTGTTTAAGTTTGATCATAATTGTAAATGGGTAATTAAAATAATATATTTTTTTATTGAAGTTTGTTTATTATCTTCTGTGTGAAATAGATTATTTATTTATTAATAATAGTATTTATTCTATACTGATAACTGTTAAATATATGATACAAATTGATTCATTTCAATTTCAGTGAAATTGTCATTTATATTGCAGTTGGCGTCTCTTAAGTAAAATGGTAGATTGGAAGGGCGTGGAAACAATTTGTGTTTTACATCGGTTTTCTCTTATACGGCGTGAGGGGGAAGTTATCAGGGATTTCAGAATGCATAAATTCGTGCGTAATATGAAAAAAAAGTCTACACACTGCTGGGAATTATTATTGCCCCCTGCTGTTTTTCATCCTCGCTCCATTTCCATATTTTTTTATATGTTCTCTTGTCACTGTGTAACTCACTCAAATTGGTATTCCGCAACAACTTCACAGATTTGCATATAACAAATTTACAATTACACGACAACAGTTTCTTTATTATTTCATTATTAGTTCATTTCTGTAAATGTATGGGTTCAGTGTTATTTTGTTGTTGTAATAATTGAATCGTTTTTAAAACAACTTGGATAATAATATTTCGAATGTGGTCAATTGCTTTTTATATGAACGTATATGCAATAACTTATGTTCATGAATATTATTACTAATAATATTTAGTATAATATTTATTAAAAATAAAAATGTATATATAATTATAAATAGACCAATTATATTACTATTTATATATAAATATTGTATATTTATCACAATACTATACTCATAATAATACTACTTATAATAATAATCTTTATTAGTTACAATGCAACCAAAGGGTTTATTACAAATTGAAAATAATGTACCCGGCGCATCCACCAATAGTCAATGAGTATAATACTTTCCCCTTTGTGACAGTAAATTATATATTTCTTTAATATTAGTTATATAAATATGCGATAGATTGTTTAGGTGGAAATACATAAAATCGTCATCACAGTTACTTAATTTTTTTTTATATGAGTGGTACAATCTAGGGAAATGATTTGTCAGAACGTACACAATAATCAACAATTTAGGCTATGAGATAAACATATATGGTATAAAAAAAATCAAATTTACTCAAATGCTACTTATATTATGATTGTCGTTTTCATAAAAAAATATTTCAATTCTATTATTACGAAATGTACAAGATTTTTTTACGTAAATTCAAGGTTTTTCATTTCATGTTTAGTATTAAGAATGTGAACTTTAGAAAATTGTCTACTCAATATTGTGTTTCATCCAAGAGGTTAATGTCAAATATGATCAATTTGAATCTTTCATTTACAGTAAATAATTTTTCAACATATTATTTTTTTAATCAAATGTAAAAATGCTTCGAGTTAAACCAAATTTTGTTACAAGTAAATAAATAAATAAAAGAATATTATTAATAAATAATTTATGATGCAACATAAATCATTTGTAAATAAGAAACACTACATTCCTAATGCGCTTAAGAAAATGATGATTATGTTACGTTAAGACCAGCTATCATTGTAAATTCATATGTTAGATAGATAGATAGATATATAAATATATACATACAAAAAGCTATTTTTGTTTACTTTTTGGATTATGTGTAATTTCAATAAATATTATTACTATATATTTTTTTAATTATACAATGCTTTAATTATAATAGATGATGTTTGAATATTCTAATAACTTTGTTTTTTTTTTGGAAACAATAAAGTGTTGATAATGGTATAAATGTAGGTCGTTTTGAAGCACTTTGGATGGAAATACCAGGTGAGATTGTAAACAGTGTAAGTGTGTGCGTGAAGTAGTAGTAGGCTGGGGACGAGGAAGGTCCATTAGGATGGAAAATGACTGTGTGTAGGTCTAAATGGATTTTGGAGGGTGTCTCTGGGTGATGGGGAGAGCGGCCCATAATTTTCAATTTATATGGGGCGTCGGGATGCCGTGAGACTGTAAAAAAGCTGATTAAGAATGGGTAGTGTGTTTGGAAAGAAGAGAGGACGGCTGGTTTTAGACGGAGCTTTCGGATCGAGGGCGGCGGCGGTGGCAGATAAGAAGAAGAAGGAGGAGGATGAGGCGGTGATGCAGGAGGAGGAGCAGGAGGAGATTGAGGGCAGGTTCTGAAAGACAAAATAAAAGAAGGGGGACGGTTTCGTTCGGGAGTAGTAAATGATACTGGAAAGATAAGAGAGAAAACGGAAAGTAGGAAAGAAGCCGTAATGCGTGACTCAGAAGGTTCAACAGGGGGGCGTACTGTGACAGTTGCGTCTCTCAGGGACCCCGCGGGCTAACGAACACCTAATTCAATCAAACATCCGAACGAGTGTACGTCCGTCTCTCTACGTTCTCCATCCCCATCCCATTCCGACCGTGTTTCGTGTTTTCTATTTTCTTTTATTTGTGCTTCCTCTTCCAACATTCCCCGTCATCCCCCATTTCTCCCCAACACACACACACATCCATACCCAGTTCCATCTCCCTTTTCTATTTCACTTGTCTCTACTCCATCGAACAAACTAAATTTCTATATCCCACATAACCAAAGGAAAAAAAAATGAAGAACAAAAAAAAAACGGAAAAACTAATATGAACCGGAACGGAAACGTAAAATAGAAATGGACGGGAATCGGGCGCAGACAACCGTTCCATTTCCTGTCAATGCTAACGTAATTCAGAAGCGTTTCTGGGGAAAACAACGTTCGTTACCTGGATTCGGGCTTCGTTAAGTTTGGTACTCCTAGCTAGCTCCTCTCTGCAGTAGATGTCTGGGTAGTGGCTTTTCGCGAATGCAGCCTCCAGTTCGGCAAGCTGTTCCTGCGTGAAGGTCGTCCTGTGTCTTCGCCTTGCGGGTGTCGGACAGGATGCAGTCGTGGGTGTGTGCCCAGCATGTTGAGGTCCTCCAGGTGATACCGTTCCCAAACTGCCACCGCTTCCCGTCGTTGTTGGTTCTGGTTTTAACTTCTTAAAAGCCCCATCTGCGAAACAATAACGAAATATTAGCTTCGGCCTCCCTAGATATTATACATGTACATGCATTTATATTTGTGCGTGTGCAATTTTGTGGGGACATGAATTTGCCAACTAATTGTTGCATGTAGCTTAGGTCCGTGTTGTGTCTGGGTAATCCGATTATTTATCGAATATTATCAAACAGATCTTTGTGTTAGTATTGATGTGGATGATTAATATTCAATAATCATATTGCACGCCGCCATTGTTATACTCGTTGCATTAATCGATACGCTCTGGTTTATGCAATTTGCGCTTCCAAACCTCCATGAATGAATTTCGAAACTGAATTACTCACTCACACTCGCTGCATATATACGACAAACAAAAAAAAAACAACTGAATTATTATTGTTATATCCAATTTTTTAAATTATTTTTAGACTGCATTTTCTATAGATGTTTCAGCAAAAATGAAACATTTAGATTTATTATACACCTTGTATACACTTATTAGTCACTTTATGCATTTTGTAGCAAAATATTTTCTTCAAATTTCTATATTTAATTTTATAGAATTTATTTTGCTGAATTAAAATTTAGTTTTCATTTGAATTTTCCAACTCGATTTTAGTGAATCCGCACTGTGCAAGGTATTGCTGTATACATACTATTTATTATAATAATTATCTGATTAAGAAAATATTTAATTTGTATTTAAAATATATCTTTTCTCACGATCTATTTTCAATTATAACTAAACGTAAGTAATATAACTGAGTGGTAAAATTCAATTATGTTATATGGTTACATAAAATTACATACAATTTCTTGTATCTACATATAGGAGCTGGCACACATGAGGACAAAGAGAGCCGCAATTCGGCTTTTTAAATTTTATAGTTTTTTTATAATAAAAATAAAATTTTAATTGGAACCGAACATGCTTCAACGAAGAGCCGCATTTACCCAGTGTTGATATATACTCTGATTCATTTACTTGTATTTCTACAATAAATTATTTAAGTGATTATATATTACATGTAAAGTGTTAATTAAATTTCGCATGAAGAAAGACATTTACTTTTATGCAAAAAATATTGTTTTATTATAATTATTTGGGAAATGGCACAATTATTCATGTCTCTGTCATAATAGCAATTATATTTGCTAGATTGTAAAAAAAACTAAATGAAAAAATGTAATGAATGAACAAAGAATAATTTACTTCAATAATTACACAATTACATGAATTATTACAGACAAAAAAAAAAACAAAAGCAGGTCTTTCCGCACTGGAAATAATAATTTATTATTGTGTAATAGAATTACTAATAATTATTTTTAGCAAACGAAGTAAATTATAGGTTTAAAGGAAAGCAAAATCAATTTTAAATTATTCATTACATAAATATAAAGTATTATTTTGTAATTTGAAGTTTGAAAGTATTTTATTTAAACATAATTTATCACAGACCAATGACTTATATAAATAATAAATGGTTCAGATAAAAGGAAACAAAAGCAAAACTGTGAATCTAACAAAGTGATTGTTGTGACTCTATGCAATTGTTTGCAAAATATTTTTTAAAGAAAGTAACCATGTGAAAGTTGCGTTTACTTTCGTTTGTTTTATTTTATATGATAAATGATCACTTAAGACCGGAAACGACCGATCAGAGACATCGAATAAATTAAAGTTATTAATGAGAATGAATATTAAAATATATTATTAAGTAAGAAATAATATAAATTAATAAAATTGTTATATAAGCAAAATTAGACAGTAACTAATTCAACATTTAAATATTATGGTCTTAGGACTTATGATTTGATCTGTATTTTAAATATGCATAAAAATACAAAATGAAACTTTAATACAATAATAATTATAAAATAGAAAGTCAACTAATGCAAAGGGCTATTGATCATAGGTCTTTTTGAACAGGAAATAATAATATAATATTAAACGACAAAAATCTAAATTATTACGGTTCTTCTCAAGTTGCTAATAAAAGGAAGAAATTAACTATTTTATAAAATAGCAGATAAATTCCGTTTTGTTGGATGACGGATAATTGAAATTATTAAATAATAACACACTTTCTGTTATAGTATAGTTCAAGTCTTGTCGATAAGGATCAAATTACATACGTTACAAGTGGTGACACTTTCAATGTAAAATCTAACTTTGATGGGTATCAATTGCTCAATAAAACCCTCGTAATGTATTGATTATACTCGAAGGCACTGAAATAATACTAATATACTAGATTAATTCAAAAGTTGACTATTTCTTACATATTAGATATTGACTGCTGTCTTTCTGTCCTGTAACATTGTTTAAAAAACATATATAATTAGTTTTTTCCTTTATATGATAATTTATTTGTTAATATTCTTTTATACATAATCATATAATATTCACATGGCACACAGACAATTTTAGAAAAGCACCCAATGTTCATATTTCTTAATTTCATAACAATAATAATAAGTAAACAAGTATATAAATGTTATGGGCAATATCAATTATTTGATTGTTATTGAAAAAAAAACAATTGAAATAAAGGGTACATTTATCAATGTAAATCTCCCCTTACAGTCTATTAGAGTTCAAAGAAAAAAATCTCTTTTTCCCTTAAATAATAACTGTTACCAAAATTCGGGATTGCGGGGATGAAGTATGTCGTAGGTGGTTGTGAGTCTGTTTAGTAAACAATTACACACATCATTAACATAAATAACAGAGTAATTACTTTTTGAACATGTGTGCTTAGAGTATTCAAGTACAATATGTCAAATTGAGTGTTAACCAGTGTGATGAGAGGAGTGAGAGAGAGAGGGACGAGTGGGTCCTTTATGTAGCCGTGCGTTCCCGCCCCATGCAGTGTCAGAGAGTTAGGTGGTACTCCGCTCTTCCATTGTCTGCAATCCTACATATGCTGTACCCTCTCGAATGCAGTAAATTGACACTTCATTATGGACAACGTGAGCACTTATTATGGGGGGACAGATGTATTCGCACATTTACATTCTTACATATTCATGTAGTTCCGTTCTGGCACCTTCTCTGACAAGTGTCAATTGAATTGTCAATGTATGAAGTAGAAAAAAATATCCAACATCCTCATTACCTTATTGTTTATATACGTTTCTATAATATTATTGATATTAGAAAATAATATCTTATACAGTCAGACTATATAATATGAATATTTTGCGAGGCTTTGAGAAAAAGTTATTATTTTTATCAAAAGATCATCATAGTGTGGGGCTTTGAGTTCAGAAAGATTTGTGCTCATCCTGTATTACTTTTCAACCGGTATCCCGTGAAAGGATCTTTGATGTGCCGAAAGATTATTTATTAAATTACTTTCAAAGTACAATAAGTTTACATATAAAAAATTAAAAGGTTATCATAATTTAAGTTTGTCGCGGTAGTGCAAGTATAGGTTCAAATGTGCCGTGAGATAAAAAAAAAAGTTGAAAAATATTGTTATGGACAAGTATAAGTGTAGCAATAACTTGCAAAGTCTTGATAATCTATAGTTCGGATGGGAAAAATTCAAAACAAACTAAATTCTAAAAACATTGTACACATAATTTTTATTTTATATATAACTAATCGACTATTTGTGTATTTTTATGCTGTTATAAAGTTCTCGATTAATCCGGAATTTTGGCGAGACCGTACTATGCGAGGGATTGCCCTATTGCGATACTTGCTAATTACTTTGTACAAATATTGGCTAAGTATTAATATTGAATCTTTCTTTAAAGTGTTATGGTCAAAATAAGATCTACATCACGGTTTTCCAAATTTTTACTGGAATTGTAAATCCTGAAATTTTCACGGTTCACCTTGTTTATTTATGAATTTATGAAATTATTTAATAAATATTTCATTCCTATTAACCCTTCAAACATAGTTTGGGAAACCCTAATCTACATGATTCTTTTTTTTATAATTAATCTTTAGAACAACGTTTACTAGAAAGAAAGAAAAAATAAGTTATTTGGTTGAATAATTTATTATTTATGTAAATGATCGGTGAATCTTAATTGTAATTAATTCGCTCTTTATAATTAGGGGATGTTTTTGCGACGATACGGCAACAACAACGAAGGGCCCCGTATATTAATATTAATGGGTGAATTAAAAATCCATCCATCCGACACCCCGTGAGATGGATGTTTTCTGGGGATTCAGAAGGATGGTGAATGGAAGCCGCGAAACGAGTTTGGTCTCGGTCTGTCTCATAAATGCTTATGCAAATTAATCGAATTCGGACCCCGACGGCCTCTGCTCGAGCACACGCCACTCAGGTGTATACGTGTATGTGTGAGTAAGTGTGTGTATGCGAACAAACGGTTGGTAAACGGGCGACGTCGGCAACTAAACCTTATTGAATTTATTACTGTTTATTAATGCAGTTAGTGTGAACCTAATTACAATTACTGACACCGGCGCGCGCCACAAAGAATCTAACACAACCTTATTACCTACTCGTTTATTCTATATATAGACAGAGAGAAATATACGAGAGTTAGAAAGTATAAAGAGATAGAGAGAGAGAGAAGAGTCATTGAGATACTAAAAGACTGTGCTTCTCTCGGAAGCCCAAACTCACCAAACCGCCCTAATTGATTCGTTTATGCAAATCGGCGATGGAAATAATGATTTTTTTTTACTTTTAGCGCTCGGTTAATGTACAAATTGCGTACACAAAATATTCATTCAGCGTTCAATTAACGGTACGTTAAATAATTTTGTGATATACACGTATCTATCTTCACATGAAAGTACTTGTATTTTACTAATGTACACGGTTTTCATGATTTCTTTGAACATTACTAGTGGGACATTACAGGAAAGAGTAATTTAATTTGGCTGGTAAGTCAAGGGATGAATCTTGATAGTCATACCATCCGATGTTGATTCAGTTGACAAAGTTGACTGATTCAGTTGTATATAAATTTGTTGGGTCTAGAAACTGCAATTCTATGATAGTATATAATGGCCATAAAAAATAACATTTTTTCAATGATGCCACTTTTTTAAACGTACATATTTCAATTTGATTATAGTCAGACCTTGATATAATGTTTTTCTCTAAAATGCGTTTTAGAATAAAAAGTACAACTATAATAAACAAAGGTTGTGTGTACTAACTTTATTTTGTCAATTATTTTTAATAGTGTTATTTTTTTTTCAATAATTAGAATTTCATTTCTTTTGCAGGTTTTCTTATTGTCTTTGATATATTTCAATTTGTAATTAGTATATCTCAGAAATCACATCGGGATAACAATGCAAAAAAAAATTTGAACATCAATAAAATCAAGTTCTACTAGTTTTTCCATCTGAGATTATTATTATTCTATTAGTAATGGATTAATTTTACAAATAAAATAATATTTGCATGATGTTATAAGGAGTACATCTATAATCTATAATGAATTCAATTTATTTTCAGTAATTCATAGTATAACAATGTAGATCCAAGTTGTTTAAATTTTTATTTCAGTTGATAATTCTATTGGACTTATATCAATTAATGATGTTCCATAGCATTATGTATTTCACTAACTGTAGGCTAGCGCTCAAAGGGAGAAAGTTTGATAAAATCGGCGCGCTGAGCCTAGTACTTCAAGGCGATTAAGTTTGTGGGTCGTTGCTATTATCAAGGATAATGTAGGCAATTTACATAATAATTGAGTTTATCTATCTACGTATAGGCAAATATCGCCTTAACTACAACTGCAAACCTTTAAATAATGAAATTTTACTTATTTTGAATATGTATATTAATTGTGCAAACATCTTTGTTATTTGAATTAAATATTAAAATTAGTATTGCAAAGAGAAACTGTGATATCAATACAAATCTTTGTACATGCTAGTGAACATATTTTTTAAATTACTGTAAAAAAATTATTAGTTGAAACTTGTCATTAATAAATCAATGAGTATGGTATAAAAAATAGCATAAATCAAATCGATTAAATACTGTTAAATTTGGTAGTCGAAATATATAAACTGACACATATTTCTACATCCGACGGGTAGTCAAGCGCAGGTCCTTTAAGTCCTGTAAAAAGTTGTTTACTTCAGCTCGAAGGAAAATGTTTTATATTCGTTATAATATTTTCTGCAAAATTTAAATATTCAAAGTTTCTGGGGACCTCTCTGGTGACGACTTGGATGTTAACTTCGCCAAAATCCATTCATGTCGAGTAATTCCGAAGTGGCAAATTGGTTAATCCGATTTAAATACTCGATGTAATCGTATTCATTTAAATAAAATGACGGTTTCCAGAAAATTCAATTTATTAATTGTTTAATTCCATCCTGGCCGGCTTTGATTTTGCATAGCGAATATGATTGAATTTGAATTCCGTCCAGGAACGATGACGTTAATCAAGAAACGCTTGATATATGTACTTGTACTCTATATTAACGGAAAAGTGAATAATTTTTAATGTTCAGACATTCTGTAGAAAATCTAATAGGTGTAATTAATTTTGTATGGACATTTTACATAATGTCAAAGGTAATATCTGCAAATATAATTGTATTCAACTATTGCTATTTAGTGAATCTTACGTAATATATTTTTGACATTATTGATCAAACTTTCTTTGATTCTAAAAAATACATTAATGCATCTATAGTACGGTTTCGATATAAAAATAAACTATTTTTCCTTTATATAATCAACTTTTTGTGCTTAACCAATTACCCGTACTATAGGAAGTATTGCTGTACCATTCAAATACAACTTGTTGAAATAAGGAAATTAAACTCGTATATTTTTTATTAATATCTCTATTTTAGATGAATATTTTGTATACTTTTTAAATATTTGATATTCTATAAATTGTCTAGTTATTCCTAACTAATGAAAATAATTTCCTATGTATTTTGTAAAATACAGAATTATACATTTTGCTGTTATCATAGACATTCTTTATATGGTATATATATATAGATACATATCTATATATTCAAGATGGCGGTCACTTTCCCCATTTCCGATGAGTGCACCTCGGGTTTCCGCGATCACCAAAGTGGTATGTAATCGAATTTCGGAGAGATTCTGATGATCGTCCTCTCCCCTCGACGAAAATGAAAAGTTGCTCAACCAAAAAAACGGCTCTATTTACTTTCAATTTCTCAAAAAACTCCATTTAATCTTCTGCCCGGATGCGTTTCAACGTCGCCGTTCTAACAAAATGTAATTTCAGGTCAAAAATTAAGCATGTCGATCATTATTGATGATCATTCATTTTTCTTTTGTTTCACTTAAATCAATAACAACATAAGTAACATGCATCCATATAATGAATATGTAATTATAATGCGTTTTGTATAAAATGTATAACAATATAAGGATGCTGTAATTTCATCTTTAAATAATTATATGTTCTGAAAGCAAATGTTCAGCAAATCAATTTAGTTTTATTTTTCTTATTATGTTATTTTGTTGAGTTTGTATTATTGTAATTTGTTGCAACTAATGTTATCATTAATATAATATATACAGTATTATATAAAAAAAACATATATGACTAATTAAATTAACAACAATAATATTTTTATCGAATGCATTCCGAAGAGATATTAAGAAAATCAAAATAAACACTTTTTTACCATATAAATATCGATGTATAATAATAATTTATTGCACAAATCTAATGACCATTAAAAATAAATATAAACAAAACAACAATTCTTTATACATAAGTAAGTACATCTGGTCAAAAAGCTATCAACCTTAGTAATTTTGCTCAATATCGATGATTGAATAATTATTTATTTGTATAGGTATGTGGAGCATATATTCAAAACAAAAATTTGGACATACTTCAGTTAATGATAATAGCAAAAAGATTGTTATTATCAATGCATAGTTTAATAAAATAATTATATTTTTCATAATATAATTGTCTACAATTAAATATAAATAATATTAGTTTCAGCTGTAAGGCCTTTCCAATGAAACTGTCAATTTATTTATAAATAAATCAATAATAATATTAACTGAAATTCTTCTTCTGGAGTCGTGTTTTAGAACATATAATTATTTAGAGATGAAATTACAGCATCCTTATATAGTTATTTCAATAACATTTTTTTCAAAATTTATTTTGTATGTAATGCAGGCTATATGCAATAAATTGAAATAAATAATAATATTTATTAATTCATCTAATGCATAGGGCTAATGAACATAGATTTTTGCCATTAAAATAAATATTATTCTTATTTCAATTTCTGTAGTTACTAATAAATATAAACATTATTAGTTATATTGTAAAACTTCTTATTTAAAAAAACAATCCAATTTTTTTTGGATAGACCTAGGGTTAATGAATGTGTTTTTTATTTCAGTGTAATTAATTATGTAATTAATTATTTGTGTTATTGTAGATCCAAATAGTAAATTGAATCTTTCTAGGAATAAATAGAATTCTTTATTTAACACATATAATATTTAGATAAAAAGTATATTTTATAATTTTATATTATAATGATAATATAAAATTCAATTGATTGAATAATAATAATAAACATAATTTATTACACATACTACATAGAATATTTTATTATTTGTTTGTTTTTGTAACATGCTATTATTATGTACTTGCTATACTATAATTTATTATTCTGCATGTACATACTCATCGATAATAAAGAGAATTATATAATACGTTTCATTTATGGGTAATTTTCATTGTTTTCTTTTGATAAAAAATACTCTCCTTTGATTTTAACAAATTTTAAACACAAAATATTATTTTCCTAGTTTCTATTATAACATTTGAAGTTATATTTTATTGTAAATCAATATTTTTTCCTTCTACCTTGGAAATATATTATTTGCTGTTAATATTATTTACTTCTTTAGGCAGAAAGACCTATGGCCAATCGCCCTTTGTATCAGTTGACTATTTTTGAAATATTTACTTCTAATAGGTAACATATTTATATTCGAATATTTTGATGTTATTTTTTTAGTTATGTTTTTGTTTCATGAATATAATGTTATCTTTCGATATTATTAATTTATTTTACAATATTTATTGGTCCATCTTAGGACAAAACCGTTTAGATATTTGTTTGAATAGATTAGATTTTTATCAAAATTACATAATGGAAAAATAATTGATTTCTTGTATTTTATATAAGTAATATAACATAAGGAATTATCTTATATTATGTTTAAGATTTTTGATTGTCTGTACCTGTATGATCTGTGATGGTTCTCGGAGCGGCGGGTGGCGTGTGAGCAGGTGTATGTGCATGATGATCATGGGAATGTGGTAGTCCGCCGTAGATGGCCGTGAAGTCTTCTGCGGAGGAGCCGCTGGTATTGCACTTCCTTGGCGTACCTTTATCGCTCATCAGATGACCGTGATGGTCATCCAAGAGGCCTGAGACCCCGAGGAGATTTCCGACGCCGACGAGGTTCGGCCTTAGATCTTCCATCATGGATTTTTGTGGACAGGCGTTGAAATTCAACTGCCTGCTGAAGATGGCTGGAAATATGTTGAACTGTTGATGCGAGGTGATCTCCTCGCTGGAGGAGGTTGGCGTCGTCGTGGGGGCTGACGGCGAGTTGCCTAGCGCCCCCAGACAACTTGGGACTCCCTTGAAATCCAACTTGGAGCCGTTGGAGACGCTCGCCACAAGAGGCGCGAACCGAGACCTGTGATCTAAGGACTTCGAGCGAGGTAACCTCCACGAAAAATATCTTTATCTTTTTGAAGATTGGCCTATCGAAGAAAGGGCGCGAAGTGGAGGAGACCGACGGCGCGTTCCGTGCAACCCTCTCAAACACTATTCCACATCAATTAAAACCCCAACGACGGCACCGTAATGATCGAATCACAAACAATCGGCTCACGAATTGTTAATATCTGTGACTGATCTAATTATATTTTGGATCTACTCTGATCCCAATATGATGACTAGCTTATGCCTAAGCCAAACGGCAAGTGAATATAACAATATTAAAACGTGATAGCGTTGTTCTGTTATCCGCTGTCATTCGACCATAGCAATCAAAGAGGTACGTCCAACGAGCCCTTCCCAGTTCAACAGCAACGATTCATATGGGACGTGCGTCTGTTCGTTCTACCGCCCCAACACATCCTCTTCAAAGTTAAGGGTAGTTTGTATCGACCAATGGGAAGAGTCGCGTGCTGCTTTCCGGCTCCCCATTGGCTCCCTGTCGATATCTACACCTTAGCAACCCCAATCCCGGCTCGTTTCTGTCAAAATGGTGGATCTATCCTCCGGCTTCGAATTCGATTTTTATATTTTTGACATAGAACATTACTCGTTTTATATGTATTTGTGTACACTATCCTCCTACATAGACACATAATTCCCCTATTTATGTTACACAGCATAATTTTATACCCTTTTTAAATGTGCCATTATTATAATTCCTCTTTTACATAAATTACAAGAACAACAAATAACCCACAGATGATGAGAAACTTCACAGCAGCATTTTTTTTCAATCATTTAATATCGAATTGTCATCCAGCATTAAAACCCGACTCATCGATTAATTGTTTTTTTTTGGTCAAACGCCAACATTCGTTAATGTAAAACAATGAATCAATAAATAAAAGTCACACACAGAAACGACAATGCGAATCGATGCACGTATTTATTAAAATACGTTAATTGCTTCATTTGTTTTTGGACAGATTCGACCATGCACATGCAATTGTTTATTATAACAACCCACGGCCCAGTTAACGTGGAATGAAAAAGAAAGAGTAGTTGTACCATTTGCGTGGTCCGAAATCGAATTAATCCGCTGCACGTAATTCAACGCTTTTAATTGAAAATCTTTGTTTCCGACGAGCGCACAACGTTATTTTATGTTTAATCATGTTTTCATTAACCCATCGAAAATATAATAGTAATAATAATCGTTCAGTAATAATCAGCGTTTGTATTAAATTTAACATTTAATGGAATAACCGTGACATTATTTGACTTCACTCAACGCAATGCCACCGAATACAAAACAATAAAAATATGCAAAATCTATAATAATATATTATGATAAATAATTAAATACTTTTTTAATTAAAATGTTACGTAGATAATATACAATAAATATTTTATATAATTTAATATATTGTTTTACCTTTTTATGAAGTAGAAAATATAAGTTAATAATGATTAATAAAATAAATTTAGAAAGCAATTATTAGCGATTGTATAAAAATACAATTTAAACTAATTTAAAGAGCTTAAAAAAGTCTAGTTAGTCATAAAAAACATAAATAATATTAGAATTTTTTTTTCAAATCATTATGAATAAAAATGTTTACCATTCATGTTATGTGTTGCATTCTGTATATTAAAAGTTGAACAAAATATTTTTATTTAATTTAAAATATTCTCTTACTATTTAAAATACTGTCTTACTATAACCTCTAGTTATAATGATTTTATATAAAATAATTGAAAAAGTAATAATGTGATATACTTGAAAGTGATTTGGGTAGAGAATAATTAGAAGGGTCCATTCCAGGTATGTAAAGTAAGGGTAAGGTTGGAATTTAAATTATTCATTATTATAAAATTAGTGTGGTTTAACGAATTTGTAAATTCATATTTTCTATAACTTTTTATGTAAAATTATATTAATATATTATCAATTGGGCAGAATGACCTATGGTTAATAGCGTTCATTTTATTTAGTTTTTGTTATAATAAAATCAAATAATAATAATAATATTTATAGCAACAAACACAATATAAACTTAACATAATAACAAAAAATAACTAAATTGAATTGCTGCAAATAATACAATCATTTTTTATTAAATAAAGTAAATTAATAATAAATGAATAAAGTACGTATAATTTTCATTATAATTAAATTAATACGTTATAATGGATTTACAAGGAATATTATTTCCGTTTGATAATATTTCTCAAATTAAAACTAAAAAAAATGATTGATAAATAAATGTAAATCAGAAATGATTGACAAGATAATTTTACTTCATCAAAATTTGATAATATGAAGTAAACTTCGTAGTTGATTGATGTGCTTTGATAATTGGATTTCTAAGTTCAATTATAGATAATATAATTGAAAATTATTCTATTGAAGAAATTTGAAACTTTCGTATCAATAATATCTAATTATGCGGATAATCGGTTTCGTCAACATCCCGTACTGTTTGAAATCGTACTAAACGAGAACATTAAAACAGCATTAAAATAAACCCCACAAAAAAAGAGTTGAGTGTATAAAAGGGAAATAACCGATAATTTATTTATAAACAAATAATTGTTTGTAATATTTTTTTGAAATTTACTTTTATTATGATTGATTTAGTTTTTAATTTTTAAAAACGTACTATAGTGAATGCGCACTGATTGAAGCTGAACTATTTTTGAAGTTATTGAAGCTGATAGGTTTAATTTATCAATGAAGACAATTTTACTTAATTAAGTAAGAACAATAATATGATATGATATATTTATATGTAAAACGTAAATACCAAATAATATTTTTTTCTTAATAAAGTTTTTTTTTTAATCTGGCTTTATATTGGTACCAAAAATGTTAGATGTTGTTCAAAATATTTGGTTGGGTGGATGTGTTAGGCGCCAGGTTAAGGATGAAATCCACTTTTGCACGCATAAAGAGAGTCAGAAGGAGCGAGATGGTGAATGGTAAAGAGAGATTACGTTCCCCAGAGTGGTTCCATATCCACAAAGCCGATTACAATCACTGTGTGAGATGATCCGCTCACACATCACATACCATGTGTACGTATGCGTGTATGTGTATATGTGCATGTATATAGATTATCTGTGTGCACTTGCCGCATTAGGGGTAGACCCAGCGGGAAGTCCCAGTCCAGACCTCATGCATATATGACCTCCATCCTCAATCCACCGAACCCTCCTTCTCTTCGGCCCAGCAGTACCCTCCAAGGGTGTCCTTCTAAATTCGAATGACTCCCGCACGTCCGTCCATCCGCCACCTGCACCCCCCACACACTCACTACCATCGCACATTGTCAATCCAACTATACAATTTGTTCAAACCCCATTCACGACATCCAATCTGTTCTTCAAATTAATCAGGTTTATTTTATTTCTTTTTCTATCAGCAGCGAACTATCTGAGTCAAATTGTACATACAAGAAATATTAATGATACATTTATGTATATAATTATGTCATTATGACATTTGTAACGGTAATTCACAGTTATTATTATTATGTTGAATGTTATTAGATGTTTCGATATATCTATCCATCTATACTTTATAGACAGTTAGCAGACACGTATCACCTTTCATTTAACAAAAAGAAAAAGAGAATTAAATATGTTAAAAATAATAAAGTTTATTGAATGCAATGTTAATATTCAATACATCAGTCTTTTAAAATATTTACACATGTACAATTTTTGATGCGGTTTCTGTTAATTATTGGCTTTCGCTCGTGATTTGGCGAATCTTGCTTTCAATCGCATGCAATCTCTTGTCGTTGTTATACAGTAAATTAATGGAATTCGAGAGTTGAAGCTCTAGGAAGAAGTGGAAGTCTGTGTGGAAGCTGTCAAGGAAATCGAGCAGCTTCGCCAACGAGGATTCGACTTCAACGTTTACCTCGCGATTTTCAATCAGCTCGTAGAAACAACTGGATCTTTTACCTTCGACTCCGTTCTCTTCAAGTGACTTCAGAAAAATCCTCTTGATTTCCTTGTTTGGCTTGAGGAAGGACTTCAGATAATGATCGATGTAATTCTCATCATCGAACATGCCGCTGTCGATGGTGTTGATGTACTGTATCGCGTTATCGACTAGCGTGATGCAATCGCCTGGATCCCTCAATGCGGAATTCACAAAATCCAAGATCTTTCTTAGAGCTCTGGATACAGTTTAGCGTACTTCTCATTGCCCGACTTGAAGCAATCCACCAAACTGAGCATGTAAGATCTCTTCTTCTTGGTCGCACCTTCGCTCCTCAAGCAATGCTGCAACATCTTCTCGTCGATGTACACCAAATATTTGGCGAGGTAATCCACGTCGACCTTCAGGCTGGGCAGAATTCCTCAAAAATATCCACCTCGCTATAATCTGGAATCCTCATAAATTCCAACTTTTCGATCTTCTGCACAAAACTCAAAAGAATATCCGAGTATTCGGTAAAAACATCCCTATGTCGCACTTCGATTAGTCCTATCAAATTTTCGCAATTTTCGATCATCTGTAAATAATCAACAAAATGTTAATTATACGTTATAGATAAACTTTTCTAAATACTTACTTCGTGCGGAACATCTACATCGAAATTTACTTCTAAATTAATATCCTCCACGGGGATATTCTCGTAAATACTTATGAAGTTGTTCCTCACTGAACGCAGTTCCTTGAGCAGTTTATTTGCCATGGCAATGCACTGTTGTCTGGTCGAAGATTGAATGATGATGATTAGTTCGTATACTTCGTTATTTAAGAAAAAATATGAATACCTTCTCATAATAATAATAATTTTTCCAAATACAAATTATATATATATGATTTAATGGAAAATATCAATATTTATATAAAAAAAATCGTCTTAATCAATGGCTACATTTAATTAACTAACCCAAACTTTGTGTTAGTTCAGGGCTCTCTAAATAGTGTTATTACAGGGTCCCAAATTGTGTTAGCCTCCAAAGTTAATGATACGTCACTGAATATAAATGT